AGCGCCTAATGACATTAGGACCTGGTGACACTCATTTAGTCCACTTAGGTCCCCGCATGTCTCAGACTTTGTAAGGTTTGAGTGCAGAGAGCTGAACAGCATCTCTTACTGGTGAAATGGGAGAATTACAGTGAGGGCGCTTTATGCCAAAGTTTAAAATCGTCTGATTCTTTAAAGAGGATCAATCATCATGACTTTATCAGATTTTTTTTTTTTTGCTTAGATAATCTATCTGAAGTTTTTCTTAAAAGCTGTTTGAGTTGGCGGATTTTGTTGTATCAGATTTTAAAGGTTTGCCCAAGATGCTAACCAAATTCGAAACCTTAGAGATAAGCATTTCTTGACAGTAAACAGCATGACATTCAGCATCTAAAGCAATATGCTGTGAAATCTATAATACTTCAAAAATATCACAAGTCAAGACATTCATCAGACTTACACAATGACCAAAGCAGATGAGTTTTTTGTGAATAAAAGCAGAATAATAAAGTCAAAAAATTCCTCTCATACTGCAGAGTTCTTGCTCCTAGCATGTTCAACATTGCATGCACAGCTCTCATACCTTTGAAGATGCTCTGTGCAGAAGTCTGTAACTAATGAGAGTGTGCCAATCTAAACATTAGAGGAGTTTTTTTTTTCATCTTCAGCTCACTTTATTGGTTTTTTAAATATGAAACAGAATATGATGATCTAACCAGTCTTACGGGCGTCATAACATAGATGTGGGTGCGTAGATGTGGATTATTGTGATGAGCTGAGTCATTCAGTAAACAGTACAGCGCTCATAAATAATACACCTAACGTCTTCCTCTCTTAGGTCAGAATAATTTAAAATTGATTTGATTCACTGCCTCAGGAGCTATTCAAATGTTTTAATCTCACAGTGCTTTGGTGATTGGAATTATTATTGCGGTAATGAACAGCGAATCTCTCACAGCGATGACTAATCCAACTCCTATCAATGAGTGAAGACGAGGATGAGGATGGAAGCTGAACAGATGAAGACGAAGCTTTGAACTCCACAGTCAGATCTGATGGGACCAGACAGGAGTTAAGATGATTTTTTTTACTCTTGAATCTTCTGAATTTAGCTGACCCTTTACTCAAATTGATGATCATTTAATTATGATTATTTTTTAGATTATGTTTTGGGTGTTTCTGCCTTTAATAACCGGAGAGCTGAGGAGAGAGAGAAGAAATGTGGGGAGCAGAGACGAGGGGAAGACCTACAGCAAAGGGTCATGACTGGGTGCCTCTGTGATGAGGACTATAGCCTCTGTAAAGCAGGGCACACTTAAACCTCTAGGCCAACTGGCGCCTCGATTTTATTATATTTTCCGCTAGAGTTTTCCCCCACCTGCTCGCTACATCCTTCCTAAATTAACTCTGCAGGGGCTCAACAGAGAGCAGGACTGATCCAGACTGAGTCTACTCTGCTTGTTGTGGCAGTCGCATCCTCTGATCGTCCTTCTCGGGGGGTCTAGCACCAGCTGGATTTACACTCAGGCCCGCATTATTTTTACTGTATAGGTGTTGACTAGATTATTAGAAGAGTTACATTTGTAAAGTGATTTAAATTAGATTTTCCAGAGCATTTACTGGCTTTAGATTTTAAGACTTGAGGAATTTTATGGAAGACATTTTAGTCGCCCAAAAATTACCCAGGATATTGAAACCCTCCTACTGTGGCTCTCATATTTCATGCTTCTCACAAAGGAGAAATAATTGAGCACCCAAGCACTTTGCCAGTCGATTTTCAAGGTTTTATTTCTTTTGATGGCTTTGATTCCTATTTAAATTCCACTTCGGAGGCCATTAAATGAAAAAAAGGCAAAACAGAGAATATTGGACTTGAACACAGGAAGGTGGAAAAGCTGAAATAATATTCTGACCTTCACAGCCCCTGAAAACCGCATGAGCTGCTGTCAAGAGATCGAGGCGTCAATGAAGAGACATAAACAGGGGAAACTGTGCTGGCTTCGTGAGGTATGTGGGATTTTGAGGGATAAACCAGCATCCCCAAAGGTCCTCCGGGAAAAAAAAAAGGATAACTGAGTGAAGTGGTTTATGAGGTGAGCATTGTGGGAGGAAATGAACTGAAATCACCGGTATGCCAGTTGTACCTCAGTGTGCTATCTTATTACATTATTGAAACACTTCCCGCTCTATCTGGGCCTCGGATGAGAAGATTTACACCTTTTGTTGCCTCTTATTGCTCTGACTCACCGGACGCTCAGGTTTATTTGACTTCTGCCCCCTTTGGGTTTATCTTCCTTCTGAATGTGCTGCAGCTCATCATCTTACTTTGTCTGGGTATGGTAATGTATTACCCATCATGCTTTGCTTTGTAAACTTGTAACCTTGCTTTAAAATGTGCCACATGAATACAACTATACTTATGTTGTTGTTGTTGAATCCATACAATGAAGTCATTGATGGTGTTTCCTGTTGTTGATCACGTTATAGCTCAACTTTTTTCGCCCCTGTGAGTAGAGCAGTCTTTGCTCAGTTTGTCCTCTACACCATTTGTGTTTTCTGTTAAAAATCATACCATGTTGACTTTTGACCATAAACTGTATATAGAATGGACAGAGTCTGCCTCTTCGCTGGGTGAAGCCAATCTGAGAACAGCACCCTCTGGTGACAGGCTGCAGTATAGGTCATAAATCCCGCCTCCGCCTTATAATGTAGGTATTATAAGACTAGTTTGTGTTCAAGACTATTTTTTCAGCTGCTTGGCTGACACCTACCCTCCCACACTAGTTTCAAGCATTGAAAACTACGATATAAAAATATTCAACTTTGACACCACTTGTCACGTTTGCCCTCTGATATCATTAAAAGTCATCATTATAGATGTCAAAAAAACAATCTTGAAAGCAACATCATGTCATCCCACTGAGCAATAGACGGTGATTAGACTTCCATTTTTTTTTTTTTTAACCGTCAAGATTCTGTACATTTTTAGAAAGAATTTAGACATTGCACTTTAACCCATTATTCGATAACTGTTTATTTCAAAAAGCAAAAGTGAGTTGCATAACTGATCTCCAAGTACTTCACTAAAATAATGATGAAAGCCACTGAGCAATATACAGTGTAGTATACAGTAGATATAACCCAGGTTTAGATTTAGTCTAAATTCAGTCTAAATGTAGACGTCTAAAAAACTTGCCTGATTTTAGACCAGTTCTCTAGGCTACATTTGGACGTCTATTAGACCTCTTTTAGACCAAAAATTGCTCAGTGGAATAAATGCTGAGGACGAAAAAAGTTATTTATTCATTATTTTTTAATCTATTTCCCACTGAATTATAGTGCAGGGGCAGGTTAGACATCCGCACAGCCTGCAGGAGTGATGTTTGGCTGAAGGAATATCCTGTGCACTTTGACAAAGATGACCTCCAACTGTTCGTGAACCCAAACAGCTGTCACAACTCTCAATATTCTCCTGCCATCTCAGCGTGAGCTTCTCCAAATGACAGGAAAATAATGAGAAATGGAACCTAAAGATGCATCACAAAGTCTGCAAAAAGCCTGATCTCACTGCAGAAACATCTCTCGGATGTGAACCAGGCAAGGCAGAGGCTGGATTTTACAGCTGCAGTAAAGTCATAATGAGGCGTGTGTTACAGAACATTTATGGTTGTGTATTCTTTGATAGGAAAAAGACATAACCCATTAACTTTTTGTTGGTTATTTATTACAAAGCCTGAAATTAATGGGCAAAAAACATAAAAAAAATAAGGGAACCAGTTAAGGTCACAGGAACAGGCCTACATTTTCTTTCTATGACAGAGTGGCTCTTTACTTTTGTCCTGTAATTTAAAGGAAACCCTGCAGGGTGTTTATTCATTTCGTGTTTTTAAACTCTAAATCTCTCACCTTTTAGCAGACTAGATGATGTTTTGGACGATACACAGCGAAGCACCAGGTAAAGACACAAAGAGGTCTGGAGAGTGGTGAAACGATGGATAAACTGTAAAAACATTTTTACACATTGACTAAAATCCTTTTAACACACTAGCTACATAGTCTGGATAAACTCTGTGAGAAAATATTTTCTCTCTTCTTTGGGAGAGGATATTCAGATGGATGAAAGATTTTGAGTACAGTGATGCATCACTTTTTCCATGAGGGCTTTCAGGGGCTCTTGCTTTATAAAGGCCAAGAAAAGGGGACTCCAAGGAGAAAGGGTCTGAAACCACCGAGAAAGAGGACATGCGCTGGACTGATAATAAAGCCCCTTGATACAGGGTTTTGATTTACAATATCAGAGATGTGTGAATAACATCTATTTGCCTTAACTCTGTTATGCTTCAGAGGCCTTGTTCAACCTTTCGGCAATAAAGATTTTTGCCTGGACAGTAAAAACATGCCTCACATTTCAGTGTTGAGTCAAATGTGAGAAATGTTCTCAGTATCTGCTTCTCTTTGGTTCAGTTCAGTCTAATTAAACCTGGAAAAAGGAAATTCATCTCAAAAAGATATCTCTGACCATGACTGTGGCAGAAAAAGGGACAGCTCTGAGTGGAACGATATGCAGGTTTATGAACAAGTTAAACTTCATCACTGTGCGCTGAGTGAAGCACGACGTGCTCCGTTCCCACAATTTGTTGTTGAGGTCGACACAAATAGGAGGGAAAAACACGGAGGAACAGGAACAGTCTAGTCCCTCACAGGCATTTTCCAAATCGCATTAAACAAAGGCAACAGCTCAACGGAAATTAAAAGAGGTCTTTGTTTGTGACGGACTTCAGAGTGTTATTGATCTTTGGCACTGAGAGAGAACAAAGCTTTCTGTTTATGGTGGTAGCCCCGAGGGTTCATCCTATATAGGATTTTTAATGGGTTTTTTATTAACAATGTTTAAGTTTGTTTGTTCTGAACAGTTTTATAGATTATGTTCAATGTTCTAATCTGTGCATTTGTACTATTTTTACAGACGGACTTGGAGTTCTTGGTCTTCCATCTTGATTAAAAAAGATTAAATCATGTTAGACAATTTGGAAATCATGTTTATTATTTACAAAAGATCATTTCAGGCACTTGCAAAGAAGTAAATTTTTTCTCTCCATGAGATGCCAAAAATTGATCTGATCCGGCTTTCCAGCTCTTTTGACGCACCATAATATTTTTACAAAAACAAACAAATCTTTCCTCTTGTTGACTCATGTTTCAACTGACTCATGATCAACCATGTTCAAAAAGCATTAAAAGAACAAAAAGAAATTCAATTTCTCAAATGGTCAAAATTGATGATCTGCTGAATAGTCTCTGATGCAAAAGATGTGTCTCTGGTGTGTTAAGCGCCACAAAACAATGATCCTTCTTTAAGTGTTTCCCAACTCTACCTCAGGTTTAGTCTCCTTTTAGAAGAGGGGTCACAGAAAAACCTCCAGTGATCATGCTGGCTTTTACTCCAAAGCCATTGTAATCAGGCACTTGGACTTCCATCACCAAGCCTCATGTCTTCCTCTCATGATCTGGTCACTAATATAAGTCAGTTTCAGTCCCATACTGTCCTCCCCTCTGTCTAAGAAGTGTTTCAACTCCCTGCTACCTTCACTCTCCTTTGTGGTCGCTGCTGTCTTGCATCTGCAGTACTTTCTCCAGTCGCTTTGCTCTTATAGGCGGCAACTGATCAAACATGTCAAAACCGAGCTCTGTGTGCCGCTGTGGCAGACGGAAGAGCAGCAAGTGGTTCCTCAACACCTGGAGGTAAGACAGAGAGAGAACAGGGTGAGGAAGAGGAGGAGGTGACAACAGCCATGGTTTCTAACCAGAAAGATATATCAGGGTTCCTACACAGTTGTAATTTACATATGTTTCCATACTCTACTTTGTACCTCTGCAAAGGAGGTTATGTTTTCAGTAGCGTTGGTTTGTTGTTTTGTTTGTTTGTTTGTCTGTGAACAACTTTACGGAGAAAGTAACAGACGGATTGACCTGAAATTTTCACCAGAGGTGCGTTTCAGCCCCAGGAGGATCCCATTACATTTTGGTGGTGATCCTGATCGCCTTCTGGATCCAGGAATTTTTTGAAGGATTCTTTATCATTGTGAGATAGGGCAAATTTGGAATTTTTGCATTTAACTCTACAAAAAATGGCCAGTCTTTAGTAAAAAATGACACAAAGGGATCTGAATGAGTTTTATGAGGTGTCAAAGGTTGATCCTGATCCAGACAAAATTCCGGATACTGTGATCCAGAACACACAAAAATAAGGGTGTCGTTGGAATTTTCAATGCTGAAAGATAACCAATGGGCAGCACAGTGGTGTAGTGGTTAGCACTGTTGCCTCACAGCAAGAAGGTCCTGGGTTTGAATCCCGGTCAGGGCATTTCTTGTTTTAGGAACATTATGAACAGTGAACATACCAGTTTAAACACAAATAAAAGTTAATAAAAGACACGTAACAGTAAAAGGTTTGGTGTGAATCACAATATAAGGGGGGACATGAGCTGCTTGGCTGAGGTCTGTGCTCTCAGAGTGCTTTTCTAGTTAGAATTATTTTTGGATATACCTACTTTTCAATTTTAGAAAACAGTATTTTAGAGCAGTGGTAACAGTCTGGAAACATAAATATTTTTCCATACATTTTAAGACCTGAAAATTGAGCACATTTATTTCCACACTTGCGTAGGAACCCTCGTATATTCGCTCCTTATGGGGGGAAACTCTGCAGTTGTGCAGTTTTCACACTAATTACAATACCATTTGTATAATTTTAGCCCAAAGACATAAAAATAAGAACATGAATAAACCAAAGATGGTAAAAAGAAAAAAGAAAGCCAGACTAAAGTGATTTAAAAAAATAGCAAGAAACACAGCGAAAGGAGCAAACAGCAGATTACAAAATTTAGTCCGACTTTTTTGATGATTTAAGTCAAAATCAGATCATTCTTTAAATCAGCCAACATATCATGTTTATACTCCTTAGATAGATAACCACTGCTCTTTTTTTATCAGGAGTACTTTTACACAGCAATAATAATAAAAACATATTTTATTTATAGGCGGGTTTCAAAACACCCAAGGACACCGTATATAGTCCGAGTCTGTCAGTCTTTAAGAGCAAATGCTGTACTGTTTATCTAATAGTATTTGTGAACGCAAACTTAGTCCACAGGATGACACAACAGTTGAGTGCACTGAGATTTATGTCACGTTTGTTTTGTATGAATATACACAATGAGCCCATCCCTCATTTAATACACCTGTTTTTACTTCACCTGTACATAAGAGGTGTAAGTCAGTGGGTAATAAACAGCACTGAAACTTCAACCATCTTTGACTTATTTCTGAGGGGAAACTTGCGTCACACTGCTTAAAATAATGGACCATTTTCCATGAGTACAGCACATTAATGAAACGATCAAATCGTGCATATTATTATTATTACTATTATTATTGTTGTTGTTGTTGTTGTTGGCACTGCAGTGAAGTTTTAGAAGAGGTGAATTTATTGGACTTATTTTACACATGATAACAAACTCTGAGATACGCCTAACAAGCAAAGGGAGGTAATCCATACAGAGCTTGGATGTAGAGATGTATGATCCCTGATCCACCAGTTTACATCATAAGAAATTCACAAGGGAAGAACAAGAGCGAGACGGAAAAATCTATAAACACCGGAGATGTATAAAGATCAGAGAGAGAGACGCACCTCATCAGTCAGGTAGTGGATTTTCCTCAGCATACTGTGTCGAGCGGCTTCCACCTCCTGAAAAAAGGGATTACACATCAAAGACCCCGCTTGATGCTATGGCACTCTCTTCCTCTCTGTATGCTTTATATGTTTCTTATTATCAGTGATAACTCCAAAAGGTTAAACAAGAGTCACATCCTTCACATCGAGATTCACGAAGAGGTGAGGCAACTCCTTTCTTTGTCTGTCAATAGCACAAGGATTTGCTTGATTGACTCATATCACATGCTTTGTTCAAATTTGGGGCAAATGTGGGCAGATTCCTGTAAAAACATCAGAATACTTTGAACAGATCAAGCTTCCCATTGAGTGCAGCTGCAGCATTATCTGGATTTGTTTAATAATTACACATGTGACGGTGTGCGTCAGGTTTGCTGTGTCTGATTTAAAAAAAGGCCCCAGAGCACAGGCGTTACATGAACCCATAATCAGCTCAGTTAGAGAGAGCGGAACGACATCAGGAGAGGCCTGGATCTGTTTTAGGAGCTGTGTTCATAAATCAGAGGGATACTCCCAGTGGTGACAGAAATCAATTACTTTCAATCACTGGCCTGCGTGCGGAGTCTGCATGTGTTTACCATGTGGATCAGTACCTGTGCTGCAGCATCCTGGGAGAAGATGAAGGAGTTGACGTGTGATAAGGCAACGACGTACAGGACAGGACACCAGCGGGGCTTCAGCGTCCCCGTCACTAAGGAGCGGAAGTAGAGACGGAGGAGTGGGAGGGAGTCTTCGAGGGGAGACGTGAACCGCTCTATGGGGACTGAGAGCTTCAAACCAAGAGAGAAAGACGTGAAGAATGAATCCTAAACATGTGTAAAGTGATCTCAGAAAAGAAAAATAAACATTGATATTAAAAAATGACTTCAAAGGCGTCTGACAAAAGCAGAAACATCTTTATTACCTGGTCCAGCGTGACTCCCAGTGACCTCAGCATCCCCACATGCTCTCCAAACACAGCCAGCCTCATGGTGGCGCTGTACCTCCTCTGCAGAGGTAAGAGGACCCAACAGCCAAAGAGTCGGTCTCCAAAAGACACAGCTTCATACTGGGTCAACAGAGCAGTGTAGAGATCCTGGAACGAAGCGAGACCTGGAGGAGGGACACTCAAGTCCAAAGAGTCAAGCCTGGACTGCCTGTGAAGTATCAAAATTCAGTTTAGCCACTTTTCTCTGTGCAATATCTAGATTTTACATTGAGGGTGAAAGGATGTTAAACTTTTTTTTGACCTGGTGAGCAGTCTGAACAGTCCCCAGGTCAGTTTCTGAACAGGTCTTTCTAGGAACAAGTCGCTGGAGCACAGGAACATACAGGACAGGCGGGCGAACTTGGCAACAGGGGGGATGACCTACAATGTAGACCGGCGAGTTACTGATCAACCTGCTTTTCGGTACTTTAGTTTTTAACATTTTTGTCACTGATTGTTGAGATTAAAGGGATATTCCAGCGTAAAATCAAGTCAGGGTCAAACACACCGTAACACCGAGTTAGACACCCCCCCTCGAGAGATGAATGCTGCCGACCCCTTTCTTCTCTAGTTAAACCAACTTTAGTAACGGCCACACGATAGCAATACACAGCAGTCTGAGGAGCCATAAACAAACCTCAACCAAATTCCACTCTATATCCACAAATAATGCTCAGAACAGCACCTAACTTCATCAACAGTACATATAGGGTCCCAGACATAGTACTAGCCACCAAACATCTTTTTAACTTTGCCTCATTTCTTTAGCAAAGAGACTAAACAAAACTCGCCAACCTCACCTAGCTGCTTGTTTGTAGTGAGACCTCGGGCCAGTCCATTACGGACTACAGCGGGGGGACGCAGCTCAAGGAAGAACATTTATGATCATTTCTTCATGGAAATGCAATCAGACTGAGACGCTAAGGCGGAAGAACTACCACGTCTGCAGTTCAAAATGATTAATATGATGATTATTACTTCAAAAAAATGATAAAGAAATGATCAAAAATGTTCTTCCTTGAGCTGTGGCACCCCACAGCTGGAAGAAGGTAGGTGAGTTGTGTTTCGTCTCTTTGCTAAAGAAATCACAGCTAGTGATGTGGCTAGGACACTTTAAGTACTGTTGATGAAGTCAAGTGCTGTTCTGAGCATTATTTGTGGCTATAGAGTGGCGTTTTGGTTGAGGTTTGTTTATGGCTTCTAAAGGTCCTTACACACCAGCGAATTTGCAAGGGACGCAAAAAAGCGAGACGGAAATGCGGAAATATTCGCCAGTCCAAAAAATCGCTTTCGCTTATACACACTGGGTGACCACTCTGTGGTACACACTCTCCCCCATCGTTGCTATTGATGCCAGTGGTGGTGTGTGTCGTGTGAACTGCAGCTGCATGGGTCTGTGACGTCATCAACAACATGACTTTTGATTGGCCAGAGGTCTAGCAGGTCCAGATATTCGCCTGCGAATCTCCGAAAAATTCGACACAAGAGCAAAAAAATAAAAGAGGCTTTTCGCCCCGCGGAAAAATCGCCGCCGGTGTGGGAGCTTGCATTGACTTTCTGCTGTTTTAAAAAAAGGCGAATAAAGGCGAATAATTCGCCTGGCGAATTCGCGCCTGGTGTGTAAGGACCTTCAGACTGCTGTGTATTGCTATCGTGTGGTCATCACTAAAGTTGGTATAACTAGAGAATCAAGCAGTCAGCAACATTTATCTCTCGAGGGAGTGTCTACCTCGGTGTTACGGTGTGTTTGACTCTAAATTAGTATTACGCCGCAGTATCCCTTTAAGAGGGTTTGGGGGGGTTTCTTTCGTGGCCCCAGTTTTGGTCACATGAAAACAACTCGTCTGTGTACCTTAAGTGCTTCCTCTCTCCAGACCTCCAGCAGCAGCAACCACTGTAGACAGTGACTCACTACCTGCAGAGCCCCCTGAGGAAGCTCCTCCACCGCTAACCCTCCACCATCAGTCACTCCTGCTCGCTCGTACAGGCTGACCAGTGGCAGGAAAGGCCAATCGGATGGTAAGGTGGGGCCTGTGAGCTCTGGGAGGAGGTGGGAGTTGATCCAAGGGTTGCGCCCGAGCAAAGCATCTCTGGAAGTCAGCACACTTGGCTCTAGATGGGACAGGTGAGTGAGGTAGCAGCCTCGTATGGAGGGCAGCTGGACACAGGCTTCCCTCAGGAGAGATCCCACAGTCTGGAGAGAAGGGGAGGAGTGGTGTTGTGCTTCCTCTTGGAGCTTCAGCTCTCCGAGTTCGACAGCCTCCGGCCCTCCGCTGTGGCCCTCTCTGGGAGGTAAAAAAAAAGAAATAAATAAAATAGACTGTAATAAAGAGGAAGACAGACAAAAACATCAACAATGAACTTACGATAAAAAGTCTCTGCTAAAGATGATGGTGGACAGAAGTTCATGGGCCAGGAACTCACTGCCAGGCAACAACCATGGAAGAAGAACCAGCGCCACCTGGTGGTACAGTGAGGCGTGTTTCGCTACCTCTGGATCAAAGGGAACCTAAGAAATGGTAATAAATGATACAGGTTGGATAGAAAACAGATGATAATAGAAACATCAAATGCTGGAAAAACTGGGACTGCCAAGTTACAAACTATTTCCATATTCTTGGGAGAATCAAAACAAACAAGATAAGTGGAAAGAAATGAAAAGGGCATTTCAGGCCTTTAAAAACAAACATGTGCTCCATTTTTCAACCTTGGTTAGATCATGTCTCATTAAAAGAGACAGCAGAGATCTTCATGATGTTAGACGTTACTTCCCTTTTTCAGTTTTAAAAATGAGCATTATTACGTCACTCTGGGAAAAGAGAGTCAAACTCCTCAGACCCAGTTTTGTAAAGATAAACAATGAACAATGGAAACAGCTGTAATAATAACCCAGTGGTTCTCAATCCAGTCCTCGAGCCCCCCCTGTCCTGCATGTTTTGGATGTTTCCCTGCTCCAACACACCTGATTCAAATGATCAGCTCGTTATCAAGTTCTGTGATGGCTTAATAACGAGCTGATCATTTGAATCAGGTGTGTTGGAGCAGGGATCAGAACCACTGTATTAAGCTGATGTGTTTGTATGTTTGAATATCCAAAAACAACCTTAATGAGCAGGTGCGGTACAAAAGTTTATATCACTGTGGAAAAGTTTAGTTATTTTTTTCATCGTTTTTTATTAGGAGAATGGAAATGAGACAAATTCTGGACTTATTGCATATAAACTAATGTGTTTTGTTTTAGTTCAACGTTGATCATTTTAAATCACTGTTAACAGAATAAATATCAAATATCTCCTAATCAACTTCAGAACATAAAACCACAATAATAGAGAAGACTGCTGATTGTACAGTTGGGTCTGAAACTGCAGTATTCCCTGTCAAGCCGCTACTAGAACCAGACACAACATGCCTGTTTCTCAGGGGTTCAAAGTCCTCTTTACAATTGATCTGTCATTTGGAGAGTGATAAGCACAAAATCAAAAGTTTTTTTTGAAGTCCAATGTAAAGATACTAAAGCCTGTGATGGTTTAGGGTGTCATGTCATATGCTGGTGTCTCTCTCTGTAGTTTTATCGAGTCCAAATTCAACACATTACACACATTTATGTTATTTAAATCCTTTGATAAGGTTCAGAAAATACTCTTCCATCAATGATCAATGATGGGGCCTACCAGTCTGTGGGCAAGCCTGAGCAGCAGGTAGAGGAGGTGGTGTTCATGACGAAGCAGCCATGCTCTTGTGTGAGACAGGGTGGGTGTTGCCTGACTGCAACCGCGCAGATAACCAATCACAGGCTCTGACAGGAGCAGACCTGTAAACTAAAGAATAAGAGGAGAAGTTAGACGCATTTTATCAACAGCAGACTCTGCGATCGTTGCCTTTCTTTGTATTAAATCTCGCCGCTGAAGGTTTGAAAACTTTTCCCCTACCTTGCGGGTGAGACCTTTGTGGATGCCTGCGACGGTATCCAGAAGAAGCCCCAGGCCTGTGAGGAGAGGAAAGGGTGAGCCAGGAGCGACCAGCCCTGGACGATCCCTCCATCCTGGGCAGGCCAAACCAGGAAGACTGGGAGTTGTATCTGGGCCCAAATGACTGGACTGAACACTACACACAACTGAGGAAGACCTGAAAAAAAAAATCATCTTAACAGTCAGCAAATGAGCCGAGTTTTGAGATTGTGCAGGTCAACGTGCAACTAATAAAATCAGAAGCAACAAAGAAGCCAGCTGACAACAATAAAATGAACTCACTTTAGGTTCTTCATGAGGCTTTGAACAACATGATGGGACAGCAGAGGGAGGAGAACCTCGGATGTTAACAGCTCCAGTTCTTGAAGGGTCTCTACTGGCTTGAAACAGCTCTAAAAGATGGGGTCACGTTACCATTATTATTAAGAGCTCCTTTTTGATGCAGTATTATTATAAGAGCTCAAAAAAAAATCAACAAACGAATAAAACACCAGCAGCTACCTGTCTGGAGAACTGGTGATAATAAGCCTGTAAGTAGATCAGGTAGGCAGGTATCACAGCCAGGCTGCTGTCTCTCTGTACCGGATCATCAAGACTCTTCACAAAGGCCTTTAAATGTCCCAGCAGCGGTGCCTTCAACCCTGCGACATGACTCCAAGACACTGGAGGAGGAGGAAGAGGAGGAGGACTCTCTTCTCCCCGAGAGCTGCAGTGAAAACAGAGAGAGTCATATGTAGATAAAAGGATTTATGTCAACTGTGTGATGCTTTATGCGGCAAAATGGTTTCTTTATCTATACCTGACTAAACCAGCTTGTAGCTCCTGGTGGCAGCCAGCTGTGTGTGTGATCTGTGTGAGCAGAGAAAGCAGAGCCAGGACCCGCTGGAGTTGTAGGGGCCACAGAGGATCTGAAGGAGCCAGGACTCTGTGGACTGACTGTAACGCCTTAGCCAAGCTTGGATACAGATCTCTGTGGAGGAATAATGGTTGATAAATATCATATTATGTCACTCAAGTACTCTAAATATTGTAATAATGAGACTTGTGTGTTTTTAGTTTTTCATTTTAAAAGTATCTCGAGGGAGTCTTTTGTATCCTGTTTGATTATGTGATCTTACATGTATAACTGACAGGCCTGACCGTAGCCAGCTGCCAAAGTCCACATCCTGAAGGCCTCGGTGGTGATCCTGACGGCCTCGCTCGGTTCCAGCAGCAGCTCACTAGGCTCAGCACTCAGCAAACAAGACAGACGCTCCCTCACTCCAAGAGAGTTTAACTTGAAGGAGGAGAGAGGACCATGCTTGATTAATGATCATACATGTGAGAATGATAAATCTGTACTCCAAACCGGATTACTATTGATCGTGAACAGATGTTAGAGATACACGGATAAAATCAAGAGCAGGCTTTGTTGTTTCAAAAATAAAAAAGATTACATCATTTTTGTGTTTTGTATCGTACAAAAAAATCACAAATGTAATTAGTCTCAGAGTTCGGATTTCAACGATGTTTTTGCTTTTAGTTTTGACGGAGACATGCAGGAGGGAGGCCAGATGAAACGTCTCCGGCTGCTTCAGAGGGACAGTTATCCAGATGAGCTATGAAAGTCTTGAGCACATAAAAAAAGTGTTTGCACATTTCACCCGCATATTTGCACAACAGAATCAGGAGCACTTACGAGTCTGGCGCAGGCGTGTCTCCCTGAGGTAGCTAGAACTCTTATCAACTTCATAGCGGAGGTGAGGGGCAGTCCATAAACAGATGGAGGAAGGGGCAAGGATGGAGGTGTCCATGAAGTTGGCAGGAATTCTGACATCACAGTCTCCATCATTCGAGGACAGTCAAGCACCTGAGTGTGAAATATATGTTAAAATATGTAAATTTAAGACCCACTCTGATGAAAATTAGTTTTTCTTGTTGTCTATATGTTCATTTGCCATTTTTCTGATGCTACAGGACATATCATGAGAAAATTAAGTGCGAAATTGCTTTTCTGAGTATTTCTTCATTCAAATCGCCGTGAATCCCTGGCAGACCCAAATGGCAGGTTGAGATACAGTGAGATTTCCTATGTAGCAAATCCAAGCTCCGCCCCCTGAGCCCCGCTATGCAGGCCAGACTCGGATAAGTAGAGAAGACGATCGCGGTCCAAGCGTGTGCGTAAGCAAATTGCAATGCTCGTAAGAATTATGATATAAATTTCATCATGCCCCCAAAGACATTAAGGGTCCGAGAGCTGAATAGCTCCTATGTTACCTGCCACTTCAGCAATGTTAGGCTGCAAGCTAGCGCGAAGAGGTGTATGCAGAGCAGCACTGTCTCTGCCCGTGACTCAGAGGCGAGTTTCTAATGAGCTACTGGAGCTCTGCAGAAGAGAAGCCCTTGAAATTGACACAGGTAACAGGATTTTCGCTAAAAAACCTTATAATCACAATTTAAAGACCACTGATAACACTTTAAATAGTAAAAAAAAAAAAACGATCAGAGTGGGACTTTAAGCTTGGAGGAAAAAAATTGTAATTAAAGAGGATTCATTCAAGTAGGAAAGATTTGAAGCAAAGTGAGGCTGTCGCTGTTTCTACCTGGGTGGCAGACGAGGAGGAGTGTCGAGAGACGCGTGTCAGGATCTCAAGAATGTCTTGGACCACTGGGGGAGAGGGCCGAACCACTTCAAGGATGTAACGCAGCCGAGGGAGCAGTTTCATCCTTAACAGACCCTGAAACACAAACAGGCAAAAATCAATGAATTGAGTGTAATAAACCTGGTACAGCAAGGAAAAACAAATCAGACGTAGAGATTCATCCTGTTCGCTTACTTTGACGACATCCTGCCTCGCCACGTCATGATCACTCTTCTTCTCCTCCTTCTCTTTGGCTGTCTCTTTCATAATGTCAGGCAGACCTTCATCCTCCTCATCTTCTTCCTCTTGAGTAGATGGCAGCAAAGGGAAGGAGGCTAGGCCACGAAACCAGGAGAAGGTGCAGTCCAAACACTCCTAAGAGGGCAAACAAACGATGGGACATGATGACGAAACTTGCGGCAGGCAAAGGGTGCATTTTATCTCTCATAGATCAAGTTTGTTTTTGCTCTATTTTCTGACATACTTGAGATTCATACCTCTCAATCTTTCTAATTTTGCACAACACTGTGGGGAATCACTTTCAAATACGAAACAGATCAAACCCATTTTAAATAAGAAGCCTCAACATTTTTAATGAACAGCTGTAGATTGCCTTACTTCATCCTCTGCACACACAAGCAGCGCTCTCAGTGCATGTACAGCTGCAGACATCACGCCCTTCACTCCGTCATCCAGCGCAAAGCGGAGCAGGAAGAGCAGACCGGCGTCCAGTAGAGTGGATATCACGCTGCCGGTCAGAACCGACAGGTACTCCCCTGCACGTGCCTAAGAAATGGAGAAAAAAAAAGGACTACAGACATGTGCCTCTGCTGATACATGTCATATTTAAAGTGTTTGTTTGCAAACCTTTGAGAGGATGCAGGCTAGACTGCTGAGGGCCAGGCTCCTCTGCTGTGTGACCTGACTGCGCGACAGGAGGAAGAGTTCCTGCAGGGAGTAGCCCGCCCGCTGAAAAAAGAAATAAAAGGTCAAGGGGAAAAACAAAACAAACAATAGAAACGGGAGAGCTTCCTCAGTAACAGGTGAAATCACATCTTCCAATGTTCATGATCTGAATCTTTACTATGACATTTTGATAAGCATATGGAACAGACTCAGGGGTTGTATATTTGCTTGATTAAAAAAACTAATAGGATGCATTTCTAATCATTCCTGACTGACCTCGGGCTCCTCTCCATGGTGGTGCAGACCTAAGTGTGTGGGGAGATCCTCAGTGGGTGGAATCAAGTTTCCCACCAAGTCAAAGCGAGCCTGCATGGCCTATCAGGAATAAAAAGCAACATCTTTTCACCTTTAAATCAAGAATATAACATAAACACATTCACAAATATATATTTGAACCAGCCATTCAGACTTCAGTGCTGAGGAAAGTCTTTATGGAATAGTACCTTCTTGGTCCCTTTCCTCCTTGGGGCAGGTAGATCTCTCATCCACTCCAGTTTCTCTGGCTCTAGTTTGTTCATATGAACCCAGTCTTTCTGAGGTTTCACCGGCAGGTCTTTCTCTGGATTCACAAACAACATAATACTTGTAATAACAGATGCAGCAGTTGTTCATCAGTAAATGATTTAGTGAAAGTCACTGATGAAAGAACCGAAAGTATTAACTCCTAGGATTTTTAAGAGCATGTTTTAGAAAAGTATTTGAGTCTTTACAGTAACAACATGAGTGACAAGATAGAATTTCTTGACTGTTGGACCTGTTGTTTTTCCCTTCAATCACCTTGTATAATCAAAGTATAAGATCTGTCTTTATTTAAGTAAATATTCTCTATTTCCTTTATTATTTGACCTGTTTCAAGTAGTCAAAATTATCTTCTTTTGATATCAGTTGTATTATTTGTTTAAAATTTAAAATAAATAAATTTAATACATTTTTAAAATAAAAAGCACTTTAATAAAAATTTTTGATTATGTAAATAAAGATGTTACTGTTAGCGCCAGCAAAGAAGCACGGAATAAGGTCTTTATACGTAAGTAGCAGATATTGGCTATCTGTTAACTGCATCTAATCTGTAACCAATACTGGTCAAGCCCTCCTTCCTATCATTCAAAAACACTCTTCTTCTTACAGCTATTATCACAAAGAGAAAATCTGGCTCCAAAAGAAAACATGAGGATGCTTCAATAGCAGACAGAAAAAAAAAACAGCTGTGCATGGTTTGTTTTTCATGGGACCCGTCTACATTCAATCCTCTGCTGCCTCTTCCATCAGGGCTCAGTATTCTTGGAAAAAAACAGGTCCGCAGTGACTTAATTGCAGAGAGTGGCTCTTTTCTGGCTCAATCTGCTCATCGCACGGAGTGAACTTAATGATCAGCTTTAATGTCCTGTTTTTAGCTGACAGCTTCATCCAACTTTATCAAATGGATACTTGAGAGTGGAGGGGAAAGAAAACAATCAGATTCAGAAACAGAAAGAGAGACATGACAGCTTTTTTAATACCAAACCAACTCTTGTGTCCTTTGTATTATTCTGCTGGGGTACAGTCAGGGCTCCTCTCTCTAAAAATGTATTTTAGCTTGGATAATTTGACAGCCCCCTGCAGCAAGACTGCAATCTAACCAGATTTAATGATGCAAAGAGCAAAGTGAAATTACTCGAATAATCCACATAAAAGACTGTTATTGATTCGTGTAAATCTACACAAACAACTGAGCAGAAAAAGGAGAAATGGTTCAAATGTTTTTATGCAGCCATCATACCTGTCACAGAAGGTGGTGCTGACATTTCCTCCTCCTCCTCTTCCTCCCCCACTTCTCTTTCCATCGCTACTTCTTGGATGTTCTGAGACAGCACAGCAACACTGGAGGAGTCTGACTCTCTGCTCACATTATCAAGAGGGAAATTTCCTTCGCTGCTTTTGCCTTGGGGCTGTTTGGACGAGGGAGATGAGGATGGGACGCTCTGGGCTTTACGAGCTCTTACAAACTCCACCAGTCGAGGATCTGAAAAGCATAAATAATCGTGTTAAACACTGTAGTACCAACAAAAACAAGAGAAAAAAAACGGTCTACAATCTAAAAAGAGACTTCATACTATCAGGATAAGACACTGGAAGATTTTTTCCTACCAAGCTGCGATAAGAGTTTGCTCTGCTCCTGTAGTATCTCAGCCTGAGACATGGCTTGGATCTTAGCCTGGTTCTCCCTGTGGATCCTCACTGACTCTGCTGAGCCATCCGAGCCCTGAAGACCCTGACCTGACACCAGCCTGGGACCTGAGACTGCAGAGATATGAAGAAGGCAAAAAAGGCTGAAAAACAGAGGAAAAAATATACAAGACATATGTTATATTAAATAATATATGGCTAAATCCTACTTACAATTACTTGCAGCAGCTATAGTCTGATCTGTATCCATACTCATCTCAGGGGGCAGGTTCTGCTGTCTGTGTTCAGGTGTGTGAGCAGCTACAGGTGCAGAGTTTGATGGTGTCTTTCCCTCTTTGAGTCTCTGAGCTGCTATGTGGCGTGCAAAGATACTCTTCTTTCCACCAACCGAGGACAGTGGCATCTGATCATGAGAAGTGATCCGTGTCAAATAATTCAATACAATTTTAAATCAATCCAGCCCCAAATCACACACCCAATCACATTAACACAAAGACTATTTACACAAAGGGAAAAGAATAGATAATAGAGTTGATACAAGAAATAATAGTCTTACCTGACTGCTGATTTCTGAGCGGTGCATTACTTTGGGGAAAGCCATACCTGTGAGTGCAGGTAAAGAGACTGGAGTAGAGGTGGTATCTCTCTCCTTAAACAGAGAACAGTTGTACAAATCAACTGGTGAAATAATAAAAATAAACTCAAACTGTGCTTATATATTTTTAACAAAAAAAGATACCACTTTACCCTAAAAAGGGAAAAAAGGCCAAACAAAATCATGTCAATCTGTTACACACTTTCATGTCCAAAGAAGCCTTAGGTTAACACTTACAACAATCCTCGAGAGAACAGTGCTGATGTGAGTGTCATGTCTGTCCAACCTCTCCTCTGCATCCTCAGCCTCAAAAGTGACCCGACTGGCCTTAAAGCGGGACTTCTTTGGAGGTGCTGGTGTCAAGGACGGGAGCTGGTCTGGAAGATCTACAGAAAACAAAAAGTTGCACACTAAGTTTGAGTTTCGCATAGTTTATTATATCGTCAGTCACAGTCTTATCGGATCATCAATGGATAGCTGCTGTGCAATTGTTAAAAATGGCACATATTTTAGTTGACAATTGATTCATAGAATATTACCTTCTATGGTGACAACATCCCTCTGTCCTCCGTCACTTTCTCCATTCGGTTCTCCTCCAGCCTCACCTCTCCTTTTGTCAGGTCTGCGGACCACATTGGCAGCGGATGTGGCACCGGAGGTCAGAAACTGCTCCTGCTCTCTCAGGAGGTCTGCCTCACAGTCTGTTGGTTTGGGACGCCGCAACATCCCTCTGAAGTACATAAAAAAAGTCACACGTGTCCTCTTCTGTTATCTTTTTACATTGTTCACCAGGATTTCACATGCAGGGGGGGGTCAAACACAGAGGCTTTAAATGACCATGCATCCTTACATTTTAATTTTAATTTTGGGAATGCACAATTTAAGACAAGATATCAGTATTCGCACGAAAGAGCTTAAAAAGTTAACTATCTGTAACTGCACATATGGGCATTTCTGCTAACATGAGGTGGATCAATATACAGCAGATGTCTTACTGAACGTCAGTAGCTAAATATATCATTATCATTTATGGTCGGTTATATTGTTTGTCTTGTTATTTTTCAGTAATAAATAAGAGAAACAGATGACTTTCTGGTATTTTTCGTGGTTTTCCAATAAAACAGGTCTGTGTATCGGTATTGATATCGGTATCGGCCAAAATGAGTTTAAACATCTCGGTATATCGGCACAAAAACAAAACCATGCATACACAACTTCCCCTTATGCCCTGAAAACGAGTACATTTCAGTTGTTTATTTGAGTTCTGTTTATGGTTTGAATTAATCTCCTGAGGTTAAAGTTAGCTCTGACAGATAGAGGCCTGCTATTTTCATCAAATATCGAGCATTCAACAGAAAGTCCCATCTACTGTTTACTAACTCACGAATGTACTGGGCACAAGTTGGTTTGAGCGCTTACTCCTTAAGCTAGCAATAACCCCAGGATGTAGAAAAAATATAAATATTCTATTTCACAGTTTTTAAATATATAAGGCACATAATATTATTCAAAATGGTTAATTTTTCGTTTTCACGTGTACAGGGACACAACGTTACATCCAACACGCACCGGTAATATGACAATTGACGTTAGCTTCGAGTTTTAACACCCACTCTGTTGAAACTTAAATTACCCAAAATGACACCAGACCATATCACCAAAATACTAACACATTTAGATTCAATAAAAAAGTGTTTTAGTTGCATGTTGCGTTAGCCAACCTTCAATTTAGTAAGATCCGTGACACTGCGAGGAACGCTCAGTAGCGACAATACGGAAGACTTTTGGTGTAACACCAAACTTCCCCTTCAGAATAAAAGCTCTGACAGAACTGGGCGAGAAGCGACCTTACTCGAACACACCGCCATCATTTACCGTGAAACCATGAGGTAATTAACTGAATCAGGATGCATGCATTGTCCAACTGAGATGCTGACGACTATTTTAATGCATCCTTCTTAATTTATGTCGTTGGACGTGTGGAGTTTACCGCATACCTTTTGCTACATCTTGCATTATCATCCCTCTCTGCTTCGAGTTCGTGGAGAAGCCTGATTTTGAGGTGGTGATTTGTGATATTTGCTGTAATCGGGATCTTTTAATAGCGCGGTAGGGACAGTAGCCCTCACTGACTGCATCATGGTCAACCTCTGCTGCCTTTGCTGCGGTGAAATCCCTCAACCCCGCCCCCCTCCGTCCGGCCAGCAGGGACCACCGCGGGATCCCCGCTCCGTGCAACAGCAGCAGCAGCCCGCTGGCTCCGGCCCAGACACTGAAGGGCTGAAGGAGGTGCACAAAAAAGAGGGTGCAACTGGAGGAAACAGATCAAGTGAATAAAAGGGAGTGGGTTTACAATCTGTCTGTGACATGCAAAAAGTGCAGCATGCTGCCTTCAGATTTGGACTCTGCAGCGGAGGACACAGCAGCCAGTGCTGCCAATGAAGCTGAGGGAGAGGAGCAGGAGGAGGAGGAGGGGGAAGAGGACTCACCGGCTGAGAGCGATGTCCTGGAGGAGGTAAGTGAAGACACTCTGTATATAGTCCATGATGCATGCCAGTTATTCATTTTTTAATTCAACTCAAACAAACACATAAACAAGATGCAGCTGGGTCTCAAAAGTATTCAATAACCTTTTAGGTTTAAAAAAGAAAGAAGAATAATTCTCACCAGCAAACTCTGATGCAAGATAAATTTGAGTGCAAGTCACTCATGCATTAAATACAATATATCATATAACACTACAATACAAGAAATTACATGGAAAAAATACGCATTTTGGTTTCTCTGCCAGTGGCTCACTGAAAATTAAATCTCTTATTGACATCCTTTAAGTGCTACTATTGCTTCCACCTGCAGCCAAACAACCTCTCTGCTTGCTGAAATGTCAGGACGGTTGACAAAGTGGAAGTAGGATCTAGTGATGTGGAAAGATACTCCTGCTCACAAAGTCATGCAATTGTTTTCTGAGGAGAGTTGTTAAGCCAGCAAATATCTTTTCCCTTTTTTTTTTTTTTGCAAAGCCTTGAGCCAGTCCTCTAAGTGCACATGCACGAGTCGGTTTGCCTCTTCATGCCTCCTGTCTTTATCTTCATGCAGTAATTATTGTGATTCCATCTGGGGGACTGGCTGTGTGCGGTCAACCACAGTGGATGAACAGTGAAAAAACAGGAGTTGTCTGACTGTCCTTAAAGCCACTTGTCCCTGTTTTGTCCTGGGAAGTGAATTTGAGCACAGATTACTTAAAAGCAGCTTGTTTTTCCCCCTCACAAAGTCTAATTGATTTTCAGCCAACAAGTTTCATTATACTAATTGAAGGCTCATAGCAAAGATGTATTGACATCCAAAAAGCATCGATGCTGATTCAGTACTCTTAAATTTTACTACTTTGGCTGGATCCAGAGAGATATTTTAAATTCGTAAAAACAGTAAATAGATATTTTTGAGTGACTTGCATATTGATTTTGAACAAAACATGATTTGGGAGTTAAAAAACCAAGAAACAGTCCCTGGTCAGGGGGGCCTTGGCCTCTAATAAGCCCTTGCTCTTTGCTCTACCAGAATTGAATCCCTGTTTGCTTCATAAATAACTGAGGTGGAACCAGCAAAGCGACATCTCCACCCCTCTGTCAGAGCAGTAATAGATGGGGCCGGTTGTCAACATAAATTGTCTCACTCCATAAAACACCAGAGGTGGTCTTCAAGAACACACAAACTCAAATAACCAGAATAAATATTAAAATGTGCCATGAAGTCTTTTAGAAATAGAGCCAAATGTGACTGATTTAATGTGTGATGCTCCAGAGCTTCCCCCCCTTTTAAAACAGTGAATGCTACTGTCTGTTTCAGCCTAAGCGCTGCAGCTTTTCTCATTGTATTACTCATTAAAAAGCTCTGAGTTTGTGTCTCTGCTGAATGAGACAATTCGACTTGTGGTGAGTATTGCAAATGTGAGCATTTTCTGTTTCTGTTTTTCTGCCTTGAGTTAATCACCCATTATGCAGCAGTGAAGTGCCGGGCAAAGTTATGTCAGAGCAGTGCTGGAAGACCACTTAGACATGTTATTTTTGGTGAAATAGGATGTGTAAACGTTATAAAATACTATGTTGGTTGTCTTACATGTTCAGTAGTCTACTTTTAAGAAAAAGTAACTGCTTGATAAATGTAAATGTGAACACTGTGGACTGAAATTGAACAAAATTTCCATTCAAATGTCATAATGAATTGAAAGCATATGAAAACTTTCAATGGTAATGCTTGTGTAAAGTTTATATACTAGTGGCTAAAATATGAGCTGTTTACTCCTGTTACTCAACTAACAGCAGGAGAAAGGTGTGTGAAATATGTCAAAGTTACATGATAAGGTAAAAATTAATAGTTTAAAACTACAACGTTAACATTGAGGGGTGCACCAACTCTAATATGTTTATTTAATATAACGCTACTCAGCCAAGCTTCAGATCAAAGTTCATATATTTTTGATTGATTAATGCGACACATTGCCTGCACAAAAAAAAACAAGCTAAACTCTCCTCCTCGTCCTCTTTCGAGTGGAGCGCTAAGACAGTCTGTATTTAAGGAGGGCTTTACCCCCACTTTACACCAAGGTGTAAGATTGAGGTTGTAACTCATGCTTAGCTGGTGCCACCAAAAAAACATTAGTTCCTAAACTCCACCTTAAATCAGAAATAACATTTAAAATAGGCGAAGTTTGAACTCAAGCACAGCTGATGCAACCAAGTGCTGAATATTTGTTTTGGATAAACTAGAATCCATTTTGAAATGTCAGAAAGTGAAAAATAACCTGGGAATATTTTGTGTCCTTTTTGATGAATGTCTCAGACTTCAGATTTTATGTGGCTACAGTGTCAGTTTTGCTCATGGCACCCAAAGTCAAAGATACCATTTAAATACTGTGATGTCATTTTGACACTTCAGCCTGCTCGGTCTTCCACCCCAACTCAATAAAAATCAAACAAATACTTCTCTGTACACACCTCTGTTAGTATTTTGTCTGTCAGCTGCTGTGACTCACAGCCTAACAGGGACACTACCAGCTTTATTTGCATCCCACTGAGCTTCCTTTTCTTGATTTATTTCGTGCTTAGGTAGCAAAAGCTGGCAATTTATAGCACAGCCAAGATCATTTGCATTTCTACTGCAAGTCATAATGTCACCGCCATGTTTCCTCATTGCTCTAAGTGCCTATTCTTCTTCTCTCTCTCTCTCTCTCTCTCTCTCTCTCTCTCTCTCTCTCGCTCTTTGCAGCAGCGTCCAGTGAAGCAGTCTCTGGGTGCTTGTGTCTGCCGGGACTCCCACTGGCGCTGCCTCCTGCTCTCCCTGCTCATGTATGGCTGCCTGGGTGTGGTGTTCTGGTGCCAGGTGACCCGTGTTACCAAGATCAGCTTCAACTCGGCTCTCACCTCCTCCTTCGCAGCCTCCTTCACCTCCTCCCTGCGTGGGGCCACAGGCCTGGGTGTGGGAGGACACTCGATGATCTACCATGACAGCCCCTGCTCTGATGGCTACATCTACATTCCCCTGGCCTTCCTGCTCATGCTCTATGTTCTCTACCTGGCCGAGTGCTGGCACTGCAGAGCCCGGAGTGAGCTGCAGGTCAAAGCGGACGTGGACAGCGTGTATGAACGAGTTCTGCGGATGCAACAGGCCCAACCTTGCATTTGGTGGAAGGCCATCAGCTACCACTTTGTAAGGCGGACTCGGCAGGTCACTCGCTATCGTAACGGAGATGCCTACACCACCACTCAGGTGTACCATGAGCGAGTGAACACCCACGTAGCTGAAGGAGAGTTTGACTACGGCCGCTGCGGGATGAAGGATGTATCACGAGAGCTCAAAGGTTTGGAGGGACATTCAGCAACTCGGCTGCGCTTTACCAAATGTTTCAGCTTCACAGAGGCCGGCCCAGAAAATGATTACCTCAACCAGAGAGCCAGATTCTTCTCCGAGATCGAGGGTTTGGACGACTACATGGAGGCCAGAGAGGGAATGCAGTTGAAGAACGTGGACTTCAGAGAAAATCTGATCACCTATGTCGACCCAGAGAGGATGCCTTGGTACACGTCCAATGTTGCCTTCTGGCTGGCAGCTCTCCTAATGCTGTCCTGGCCTCTGAGGGTGCTGGTAGAGTATCGCACTGCCTATGTGCACTACCGCATAGAGAAACTGTTTGGGTTAGAGTACAATCACACCGGAGACTCTCCTCTAGATGAAGATGGGCCTTTGAGGAGTACTGGATGTGTAATTCCAAGAGTAGACACTCTGGACAGTACTGAGATGGAGTGGCACATCCGTTGTAATAGGCAGATGATTCCTAGCTATTCTGAGGCCATGCTGATCAACATGAGCACAGCAGATTCAAACTCCTTACAGGACACAGAAAACACCTCCTCCTCAAACTGCATCCTCCTGGACTCCTCTCCTCAGAGCTACGGCGCCCTCCAAAGCCAGGACGACCCTGAGAGACGCAGCGAGCCCAGCAGACAGCGAGGAGGCCGGCGGAGGACGGTCACCAGCTCCAGCTGCTCCTCCATCTTCTCCTGCCGGGGAGCTCTCTTCCACTCCCACCTCTCCTCTGACACGTCCCGTTTTTCCCTGTGCCGCATGTACGGCTCCCATCGCACCGTCGCTCTGTGGAGGAGCCGCAGCAGTAACCTGACTGAGCCCTGCTGCATGGACGAGCAGTGCTGCAGGTCAGACTCAAGCCAGCTGGCACTCAGTGACAGCCCTCCAACCTACAGAGATGCTCGGTTCTTCCCAGTTCTTATTGTGCATCGGTCTGAAGGACGTGGAAGCGAGGATGGGAGGGGAGTGAGGCGGTATTATATACGGAGGGGCTCATCCTGTGTGGAGACGGCTCTGTGAGGGACCTACAGAGACATACTGATTGTGATTCAATTTAAGGTGAAAGGTTAAAGAGACTTTGACTAGAGCTGCAACTACAATAACATCCTATTTGATCAAGGTGTTTTACAGCTATCGGAGTGGAATCTGAATAAAGTGTGCATACATGCCACTACCACATGAAAACTGCTCCACCTAAACATCCCACTGTTTTCAAAACATACATCGATAATAAAAAAAAATGTCACAGTCAAACTTCACCATATCTTACCTAGTCCTTGTTTATGTTGGCATATGTGGCAGGAACACAATATAAGATAAAAGAGGATTTGCATGTGATTTGCATTACCAAAGCTGTTTTTGTGTCTTTGAGTTGAATTATTGTCAGTTAAGTGAAACCAAAGACATGAAAATTCTGTTTTTTCTCCTAAATATTTTTGATTACCACAAAACATCTATTAATGAGAGATATGTAAAGGGTACATGAAGTAAATGTCAAAACAGAAGCAATAAACAAAGTTCTGAAGGATTTTTTGTACATTTATTTGTGTGTGACACATCCTTCATTTATTTGTATGGTACCTGTAAGATTACAAGGAAAAATATTTAGCACATGCACTCAAATGAAAATCCTTTATTTTCTGTCTACTCCAATAATAACTACTTTGATCACATTGATTGGCAACATATAAACCTGCTAAGCTTAAAAAATCCTATTGTCATGTCATAAAAACCTTGATAATGTGACAAACCATGGTCAATACAAGAACTTTATTTATCCCCAAAAGGAAATTCATTGTCATGAATTGTCCAGCTTGACAAGCAGCCATAAGATACAAAAACATAAGATACATTCACATACAGTGAATGTATCTTATGTTTAAAACACATATTTGGCAGTTAATTAGCTAACATCAGAATGAAGCAAATGTTAGCATTCAGCCTTATGATACATGTAAACACCTGATCATGTCTGATTACACCTGATGACAACTAATTACACTTGACAACACCTACTTCTATCTGATGTCATGTGCTGGTGATGGTCCACTGTGTTTTATCAAGACCAGAGTCCCTGCACCCACCAATCAGGATATTGGTAAGTTTCTCAATGATTGAGCAGGCCAAATAAGATTCTGATTTTCAATGCTTTCAGCCAACATCTTCAAAATTCAAACAAAAAAGGCATGAAATATTTTGCAACTGGTCATGAATACAGAATATATGAAAGTTTGCCTTTGCTGAATGAAATTATGAAAAATAAATGTTTAAAAGTAGCAGCAAAATCTCCCACTTTGACAGTGTAACTACCTCAATCAATCAATCAATCAATTTTTATCTGTATAGCACCAATTCATAACAGCTGTCATCCCAAGATGCTTTCCAAAGAACAAGAGCAGGTCTAGACCACGCTCATTGTTTGATGAATTATCAAGACCCAACCTAAGATGGGATTTGGCCCATCTCATCTAACATGAATGACAGTGGCAAGGAAAAACTTCCTTTTAACAGGCAGAAACCTTGGGTAGGACCAGACTCATGCTAGACAGCCACCAGGCCGCTGCTGGGTTGTGGAGGAATACAGAGAGATGAAGGAGAGGGGAGAGGGAGGAGTTGAGAGAGGGCAGGGGGAGAGAAAGAGAACAAGATAGAGGGAAGGAGAGAGAGAATAGGTAAGGCGGTGGGAGGTAGAGAGAGTAGAGAACGAGGGTGAGAGAGAGGGACAGGGGACAGCAGCAACATTAAAAAAAACAGCAACAACAACAGCTTATGCAAAGTTGTGGTTGCAGAGCAAGTAAAGATGAAACAATATGGATTCAGTTTACAAGATAAGTAATTATGGACTATGTGAAATTAATTCAATGATTTAATGATTACAGTCAGCAGGCCTAATAGTAGTTAATTTTAGCTTTATGTTATTAATGTCGGTGAGGCTGATGTTCATGTCTGCAGCAACAGTCCAGAGGAACCCAAGAGAAGAAGGAGCTCCTTGTAGTATCTGATAATTTTTCAAATGTATCAGTCTGTGAATTGGAAAATACACAAAAAGGAGCTACTGCGGGACCTAACTTGTGGCGGCAGCTGTAGGACTGAACAATAACAACATAGTTATGATGTCTTTAATGGTCTTGTTGGCTTTTGCAGTCCCAATAGAGACACAAGTATCAAATTCAGTATGTGTAAAGTCCAATTTTATTAAAATATTGTTTTGTAAAAATCTGACTTTCGTGGTCAGATGGTGGTCTTGTTGGCTTTTGTAGCCCCAATAGAGACACAAGTGTTGAATTCAGCATGTTTAAAATCGAATTTTATTAAAATGTTGTTTGCAAAAATCTGACTTTCCTCCACTTTGTTGACTAGCTGAGGTCACTGCTGTAAACTGTTCCCGGGGAGCGCCTCGTTGACGTCACTTCCCCAGCGCGCGAGAGAGCAAGCTAGCGCCTGCTAACTAACAACCGACTAACAACCGAAAACTATCCCGGATCTCCACGAAGAGTCGATAAACTCCGGAGCAGATCAAAGTTATTTACCTTAGAATCGACAGTCGAGCTGTATATCGCTTGTGTTGTCGCTGACATCCGCTCTGGCGCAGTTTGTTTGCGGTTTTGTGAAGAAAGCTGCTCTGTTGTTGACATCCATGACGGGCACGGATGTGTGTTGTGTCACTGGGCTCAGGACGTTAAGTCAGCAGCTAGCGTGACTTTTTCACGGAAGTTTCTCTCTGTTATGTTTCAATCCCTCCGCTCAGTCTGACTCAGTATTGGGCTGGACTTCTGGCTTTGTTTTTTTTTTGTTTGGTTTACGATGAAGCTGCAGTGTGATGTGGAGGTGGTGAATCGCATGCTCCCCACATTTGGGATGAAAAGCCGAGGAAAGGGGGCCAGAGCTGTGATCTCCATTGGGAAGCATTTGGACAAGACGAGTCAACGCAGCAACATTTACATGATGATCTGCACAGCTAAAGACAGAGCAGGCTCTAAATACAAGGTCAGTAAGTGTTATTATCAACATTACACCTCCTGACTTCTGCACCACCTTGCTATGCTGGGATTCATAATAGACCTCCAAACTTGTGCCCTCTCTGATGCTATTTTCATGATTTCTTTGCCATTGCTTTGATCTGTTGCAAACTTAATTCAAGGCTTGTAATTGATACACCAAAAAGCATACTCAATAACACATATACACAGAGAGAGAGGGGTTTAAGTAAAAAAAATAGTGTCTACTCATTGAGTAAGATCCAGATTTAGTCTCCAAAACATACAGGTTCAAGAGTTAGGCTTTTAGTTGACTTCAAAAATTAAAGAGACAACGAAAGGATTAAAGCCCATGGAGTTGTATGAGCTTTTAGTGACTGAGATTTACAGGCATTAAAGCTCCTGTATGGGACTTTTAGTGACCCTTGTGGATGATCTTGTCTGTTGTACAGGTTTTTTTCTGTATAACAAATCTCATCCTATTTACTTTACTTTGTTTTAGAAGTCAGATGCATCAGTCTGTGAATTGGAAAATACACAAAAAGAGCTACTGCGGGACCTAACTTGTGGCAGTAGCTGTAGGACTGAACAATAACAACATAGTTATGATGTCTTTAATGGTCTTGTTGGCTTTTGTAGCCCCAGTAGAGACACAAGTATTGAATTCAGTATGTTTAAAGTCCGATTTTATTGAGTTATTGTATATCCGCCTTTGTGTTTGTAGAGTGAAATGTCCATTTTGCTGTATCCCTTAAGACACTGTTATTGTATGGAGTTTTTAACTAAACATTAAAATTAAATAACCTGATGCCTGATACCAACATAATTTTTCAATTCCTCACAGTTAAATTCATAATACATGCCATCCATACACCAGATTTAGGGTACTTCTTGTTCTTTCAGTAGCTTTGACAAAATTCTGAATCCGTTCAAAATCTAATGTTCATGCTATAAAAATGTAACAACAGGAACGAATTTACTTTTATGTCAATAAAATACCAAGATAATCATGACGATATTTTTGTCTTTGGTTGGACACCATGAAACAGTCAACAGCAAAACATCCAAACTACTTTTGTTTACTGTTTTCTGTTGTCACTGTCCTTTGAGTCACTTATAAAATCAATTATTTATCATTGTCTTTCCTTTAAAGACCTTGATAGGTAACCCTAGAAGTGCTGCTTTCATTGACTCAAATGCCACGTTCACCTTAGACTACAACCCCAGATTTTTAAGGTCACAGAAATGGACACATATGAACCCACCATTAAGTAGACACTAACATGTTTTCAGTAGTCCTGTCTGCACATGCAGAGCGGGTGAATCACTCTGGGTTTGGGGATGATGGTGCAATCCCTTCCACAATTGATTGTGAAATGTATTTTTCCATCACTGACACTTGCCAACTTTCTCTTGCAGCTCAAAGACAACATTGAGAAGTTCTTCACTTGGTTTGTGGAGGAAGGCAAAGCCACTGTGAGACTAAAGGAACCCGCTGTTGACATTTGTTTGAGCAAGGTATGACGGCTGGGCTGACATAGCGTAAATAACGTCGGGTATTTCTACCCAGTGACTGGTTGTATTTTTTTTTTTTTGTTTGCCCACAACAGGATTCGCAAGTTTCTGATGAAGCAATGTCAGTCGTATTTCCCCAAAAGTATGGTCATGCAAGGGAATAAAGCTTTCCACTCTCTTTTGTCAACTAGACAGACAAATTGTTAGTTGTTTTGACTGCCTGGACAGACACCAGTGCAGCAGCCTCATTGTTTCCAGCTGCTTTAAAGCCCTCTTGGCTGTTATGTGGAGATGGTGACCCTTCACCTAGATTCTAACATAGTTCAACCTGTTACATTGACAGAAACATTATCACACACCCACAAACAGGCTCACAACAAATTAGGCAGATAAAAAGGAATATCAGGAGCTACATGAACCAAATGTTAGTCGATGTACAGAGCCACAGTTGTTAAAACGAAAGCACAAACTCTGATCCTAACAGTAATTTATTCGAAATAGCACATTGTACGTGTTTTAGATGTCAGTTTGTCATTTTATACTGAATTAAACTGTGCAGGTCTTCACAATAACTGCATTAAATTCTCGTTTATTACATGAGACTGAGGTTTTTATTCCCAGAAGCAAAAGCGCATCACTTTCATCAGAGAAAGTGTGTCAAGATAAAGTCCAGGCTGGTGAATGTAGGTTAAATAATTCGAGCAGTAAAGCTATTCACCATCATGAGAGAGGACACTTGGTGTTTGATGTTTCTGTCACCCATTTTTCCACTACTTAACTCCTACCTTTGTTGATCGATTGTTTTTTAGGCTGATGCGAATAGCTTAAAGAACTTCCTCTCAGCCGCTCGCTTAGCCGACAAAGGAAGCGACACCAGCAGCCTCCCTCTCTCTACACTCACCCCTGTCCGCGCCCGCGAAGTTGAGCAACCCAAGAAGAAGCTCACCATCGTCTCAAAGAAGGACTACCCACTCACCTCCAACTTCCCGTACTCTCTGGAGCAGCTGCAGGTCTCCTACTGCAAGCTGTCACGCGTGGACATGCGGATGCTCTCACTGAAAGGTAATACGTGAGGCTTGTGTGGTTTGAAGTCAAGGAACTTTCCTCCCTGACTTCAATTCAAAGAAAGTCCCAGTTGTTTACTTTTTTTGCCCCCCAATCCCAGGGTGTAAAAAGGGTGTAATGCTGTTCTACACAATTGTCACATCACTCATGTGGACACATAAATTATCCTGATGAGAGCATCATGTTTTAAGAGCTTGGGAAGAGCATCAGGTTAACAAAACTTTACTGCTATTTTTTTGTAGTTTGACGGTCTTTGTCCTCAATCTTCATCAAAATACAATGGCAGCTTGAATACCTCTTTTAAGGACCTGCTTTGAACCAGATGCTTGCATTTTCTTTTTGCAGCTCTCCGCAAGCTCGACCTAAGCAACAACCACATCAAGAAACTCCCAGCCACCATCGGTGACCTGAGCTGCCTCTCGGAGCTCGTCCTCCACAACAACCACCTGGAGGCCTTCAGCGAGGCCCTCTGCCTGTCCACTCTGCAGCACACCCTCCAGCTGCTGGACCTCAGCCAGAACCGCCTGCGGTCCCTCCCTGCTCAGTTCTGCCAACTCAGAGAACTAGTGAACCTCAAACTGGACGACAATGAGATGATTTGTTTGCCTTTTCACATTGGAAGGCTCTGGAGGTTGAGGTTCCTGTCGGCGCCGAACAACCAGCTGGCTGTGCTGCCAGCTGACTTCCGTAAGCTGAATCTGGAGAGTCTGGACCTGTTTGGAAATCCATTTGTACAGCCAAACCCTCTGGACCACACCATGAAACTCACATTCCCTGTCCCACTGCAAGAGCTGGCATCCAGAGCCGTCGTCAACCTCAGGTAAGACTTAGACCCCATCCCAAACCGCCCCCTAACACTCGCCCTGAAGTTACACTCGTAATGAAGTTACACTCGCGGCTGTGGAGTGCGCCTCAATTGAAACAGGAGGGTATAAACAAGACGGGCAGGTATGGGACGCCCTCTTCACTCCACCGGAAAACAGAAAGATTCATCACCATAGCAACACAAAGATGCATCCTGTGCGAGGCAGCATTTATTTTCTTAGTAAAAGGACATCATGTTCAGTTCTGAGCCACACCGGCTGCCTCGTTTCTTCATCCTCCCAGTAAAATCATAAATCCAGCAACCATCACAGTGACAGGAGCTAAATTATACTTCTGATTGTTAGTGATACTACACGTCTTTGAACCCCTTCAATATTTGACATGTGCCCGCGCAATCAAATCAAACCTCAGCACAGAATAAGATTTCTGACTCCTGCTTCATCTTTCCAAACCCCGTCTTTTGTGATTTATTTTTTTTTGTCAGTAAGACAAAGGTGGACACATACGGAACTTATATTTGTATGTTGAAAGCGAACTTCTGATCGTATTTTTTCTCAACAGGATACCCTACGGACCTCACCTCATCCCTGCCCACCTGTGCCGGGACCTTGAGGTAGCCAAGACCTGCGACTGTGGCCGTGTCTGCATTAGCTTCTACATCAAGACTGCGGTCAGCATGAACCTGCATCAGGTCTCTCACACAGTGGTTCTTGTGGATGACATGGGGGGCACACATGCTCCGGTGCAGCAGCACTTCTGCTCCCTCTCCTGCTACTCTGAGTTTTTGGACAGCTCTCTCCAGAGAGGAATCAGATGAAGAACAGACTCTTTTCATCTGGCATTAAAAGGTACACTAAATGCTGGAGGTTGCTGTGGACTTTGTCATTTGATTGCAGGTGGTGCAAATTATTATTGACTCTTTAGAGCCTTTATTTCAATGTGTTTCAAGCTGCCTGTTCACCACACATGAAGAACAGGTGAAAAAAAGACAGAAAAAAAAAAAACCCTTATACCTGCTCCAGCATGGCACTGACATTTATGTTAATACAGTATACTGCAACACTGATGCAAACTGACGGTTACCCGTGCTGCTGTGAAGTATTATCTTCATCTTTACTGTCCTTCCATAGTCTTCCCTTGCTGACCTACCTAATCTAGCCTAGGGATTAAAGACATGAGATGAGTTTTTACCTGAACACAGTGCCTCAGGGGCCACAAGTATTGGCTTAACAGAGTTGGTTTTTACTGCGCTAATGACCCACAGTTTTTATACATGTATATTTGAAGAATTTAATAAAATAAAGGTGTTCATAAAATTTTCCTCAATCATTTATTCTGGGAAACCAAGGCGATACATTTTGTGTTTTGGTCATCGTTTTAAACAAATGCTTGAAAGCAAAGTTTTGAAAATATAATAACTTCTTGAACATTTCACAAAGTCCTCAGTCCAGCTCAAACATCAAGGAGTTTTCAAAAGTGAATGCAGCTGATGTTGAATGATCACTGATGACCTTTTCATTGCCATCCTCATCTATTTCCCTCAATAGCACAGGTGGTAGCTTGTTGTTCTTAAGCTCTGGATTTTGCAAGATTCCCTCCGCTGGCAGATCATCCTCATCTATGGTCTCGTCTTCCTGCTGCAGCACTGAGCCCATGGAGAGTTCCTCTGGGGAAAAGGAGATCTCATGGCTTGTGTTCCCCTCGCTTGATTTTCCTAACGCATCAGTTGCAGGGATTGAGGGCAGAGAAGCAGCAGTAGTCTGGGGTTCCTCACTGGAGCTGTTCTGTAAAAATGCAGCATCTGTGTCCACCTACAGCCGAAAAAATAGAGTTTTGAAGAATATTTTTGAATCTCATACAGTCATACCTTCATCACAGTTTAAGATTTGAAGTGTTTTTCTCACCTCTAGGCTCCTATTCAAAGTCTCCACGGTTGTTTCAATCTCCGCCTTGATGTCTGGAGTCTTCACTTGGTTGGTTGACTCCAAATGTTCTTCTTCCTCTTTGACTTTGCAGGTTAAAGGTTCAGCCGTGACTAAAACATCTTGGTATTTTGTTACAGGAGAATCAACATGTAGGTTTTCATCTTTTTCAGGAGAAGTATCCCTGCATTTGTTAACAGAATCATATTCAAATCTTGTTGCACTGGAATCCTCATTCTCTGCGGCTTCTTCATATCCATCTTCACTCATTTTTCTTCCATGTAGCTGCATTTGCTGAAGGTTTTCCTCTGCCTCGCTCTTATTAACTTCTTTAATCTTATCCTCTGTGTTGCTTTCTTCCTTTCCTTTTTTCTCTTCTTCTTCAATTTTCTGGACCCCCCTCTCCTCTTTCTCACATTCATCTGACTTTTCTATCTTGCTTTCCTCCTGCAACTCTCCATCACTGACACTACTTTGCCCCAGAGCAAAATTCAGAGCTTCATCTGAAGGCAAAACAGGCAGTGTGACAGTCAGCTGTCCTCTCTGCTTATTGAACTTGGCCTCTCCCTTATCTTCATCTACAGGGTAGGCTAAAGGCAGATCCAGCCTGTAGGCAGGTTTCTTGGACTCAAGCAGCAGATTTTTTTCTGTTACCTCAAGGCTAGCATCTGTGACTTTTTTCAGCAGTGGGACATTGATAGTAACCACTATCTCCTTCGGCCTGGGGCTTCTGGCCGAGTCTCTAGAATATCTGAAGTCCTGCAGGTCAATAAAAGATCTGTATTTTACAGTGTAATTTGGCCTGGTTGGTTCTTTTGTTTCCTGGGGCTGGATCTGAAAGCTTTTGAGTTCAGCATTGTTTTTAGTTTGTAAATTTGTTGACTTGGATGCTGATGGTCTTTTTTCATCTGGGTAAGGAAAAGCAAGAGGATCAGGTTTCTCTGAGGGATCCTTGATTTTATGTCCAGGTATGGGTTTTCTGATGACACAGGGCTGTGGTGTACCTTTGTATTTCGTACTCAGTACCCTCACATTGTTTTTATCCAGAGTAACATTAAACGTCTTCTGTATTCCCTCAATGGCTATGCTTTCCACCATATCCATGAATCTCTTGTCTTTGGCTGCTATGTGGAGAGTGTCAGGGTGGAAAACAATATCATAAATCATGATCTCTTCCCCTTTTCTATTTGTGTTTTCCCTCCCTGGGTGCAGACTATGAGGCAAAGACCAACTCTGCCCCTTGTGGCCAGCTGTCGACAGCCCCCATTTACACTCAGGTTTGCCCACTTTATCGTTGCCACAGATGTTAATGAAACATTTCTGCTTGCCGTTCAGACTCGTCTTGACAGCCCTGAATGGCACAGGGTGGATAAATTCAATCGTGTTTCCTCTCTCCTTCTCCAGAAGTGTAAGCTCCTCTTCATACCTTTTCTTATTCTCTGGGTCTGATAATTCTTCAGCGTAGTCGCTCAGCATTTCTCTGAATTTTTCATCTTTTAAAGCTTTTGTCATCCTGTCGATTTCATCCGCCGTCATGTCCAGCTCTTTGAGCTTATCTCCAGCCTCCATGATGGTTGAGACGAGAAAAAATAACGTCGGTGAACTTTAGCGGACGCACAGGGAAAACTTTAGAGAGCTCAAACTTAAAAATAATGTCTGAAAAAATGAGAGAATAATGTATGAAGCTCTCACAAATAAAAATACTGAGTTTAATGTCCTTAAAGCTTATCTACTTGTGGTCAAGCTCACGAATCTTGTCCAATTTGCGGCAAATTGTCCAGTTGTGTTGTTGTAACCATAGCAACATGACGGTAAGGTGCACCCAGGAAACACTTCCGCGAGAATAGTTCCACTAAACTTTCGCGTGTTGATAAACAGACGAATTTAACTAGTAGAGCCTACAGTACATCTTGCATTAACAAACATTTTAAGACCTCCAACAGTCATACGGCTTAGTGAATGATATTTTCAGCACATTTTGCGTCGTGTTGTATTGGAAGTAAACGAGACAAATGCACATAGCAAGGTCCAGTGAATAAAGCAAACAGAAGAAAAGCCTAACCTTATTCTTTTGATTAAACATATGCGTTTTAAAGTCTAATTTTAGTAATTGTCAACATGTAACGAACAAAGTAGTTTAAAAAATACCAGAAATGTGTAGTGTGAGCTCTAAACACCGTTTTTAACAAAGTCTCTCATTTCTCATTGGTAAATTTTAACCATTACTTTACCAAAACGTGCTTTTAACTGCACTTTATTGACTGTTTTGGGGTCTGAAAGGATCGTGGCGTATTGGAATTTTATTGATATAGTAAATACAAAAATCACAGTTTCATCCTGTTCGACAGTACATATACAACAAAAATGTACAATGCATATTACTGTTTGGGGGACTGGCAGATATAATTGGACTTAAAACTGATCAAATATTATGCTCAATCTCTGAAAATGTCTTTTTTTTCTTTCTTAACAAGGCTGTTACAAAGTATTACCACCAAAATGTGACTCTACCACCAGATGTCGCTGTTGACTACCGCTAAAATGGCGGAAGGTTAGCGAGTATGTCGGTCAGTAAGGCAAAGGGGCGGGTAAGCAGGGAAGAGAGGTGATTGGTCGCACCCCCAACAGTTCATATTTCTCTGAGTCTGATTGGAAGAAGTGTGCTGTTACTAGGTATGGGACCACTGCTTGTGAATGTGAGGAAGGGAGACAGTGGATGGAGGCAGTGAAGAGAAATACACTTCATACAGGAGCATATTTTTTCTAGCTAATTTAATTCATAAAAATTTTCTCCTCTAGGCGGGATTTAATGTAATAATGGAAATATCAGATTCCATGTTAATTTTGTGGTCTCTTGTGTTGTAGGTTTTACAACAAGATCATCTTTCTCCTTTTATTTGTAACCACTGACCCAGAGAAAGACATGTTTGATTAACTATTACAGCCCAATTGTCTTGAAATAAATAAAAGTCTGCTGTGTATTATGCAAGAATCACACAACCCAGCCACTTCCTTGTTCCACGTGATGGAGCTGAATGGGCTCAAATGATCACTTAATGTGCTCCAACATGATCCTAACGAGTCTGTTTTGTCTACTTTAACTCACCAAATACTTCAGCAAATAAACAGGCTGCAGTGTCCTCAGATGATCTCTTAAGAACAGCTTTTATAACACCCCCTCCAAAAAAAAGAAAAAAAATATCATTCAGCCTGTAGACCAAAAGAGGACAGTGTGTGTGTGTGTGTGTGTGTGTGATTGTGTGTGTGGGGTGGGGGGAGTCATCGTGTGACGCACACAGGATGTGGGCAGGAACCACTCACTGCATTTCTGCATGAGACAACCGGGAAAGACTGCTGACTCTACCAAGATCCCGCTCCTCGTCTCTTTTTCCAGGATTAGACACTGGGAGAGGTCACGAAATGCAGAAAATGTGGCTTGATTTTCAATCTTTTGTTTATTACAAATACGTATTAAATAATATGAAAAGTTAGACAGGGAAATACAATCATGGTATGATCAAAGTACTGGTGATTAATATTCATATTTACATTGTTTTTCATGTTAACTTTTCCCCAAATATGACAAATAAATGCATTTCATAGTCCAAGCAAGGATACATTCACATAGACATACATATCTGTCGATAAAAGTGATGTAGGAGAGGTGCAGAAGGTGAAATGTGTAAGACCAACTTCATAGAAAGGCTTTGGCAAAAGTGTGCATACATAAAAACAGTAATATCAAAGTAAACAAAAGAGTTTTTTAGAGAGAAATACAAGTACAAATAAGCAGTAGAGAGGAAAACAAAGAGTCCAGTGCATGTTTTTGTTTTATTCCCATGAGTAAAATAGCAGCAACCAAGTGCTTGGCTGCTCCTGGTGTCCCTGTGTTATCTCAGGAGTATTAAAGATGGCAGTGTTCATTGTCTACTGTGAGCCTGCAGGCACCAGCATGCTTAGTGTTGTGAGGCCTGGTTTGGAAGAAGGTGTTTTGCCAGCAGCCATTTTGTTCAGGCTCCGAACATCCGCCTGCCAGGAGGGAATTTTCTTCGTGGTCATGTGGCGGCGGGCGTGTTTTGTGAGGTGATCGCTGCGCATGAATCGTCGGTCACACACAGGACACACAAATTTCTTTTCCCCGGTGTGTGTTCGCCGGTGACGGGAGAGCTCGTCGGAGCGGGCGAACCTTTTATCACAGCCATCCCAACTGCAGCTGAAGGGCTTCTCACCTGAAGGAAAGAGAAAAACAGGAGAGTCAGCGCGTGAGTCACACTACAGTCATAAAATCCTAACACGACAGCTTGTTGTGTCTCAGATATAACAATGAGCTCACTCTTCTCCCATTGTGATTAACAAGGCAGAGAAAGGAATGCTTCACAAACAGGAAACAACACTCATCAGTGGTCTAAACCTTTTACGACATTCTCACGAGTGTCACTAATAAACCCTCACCTGTATGCGTTCTTAAGTGAGCCTTGAGGTGGGAGCTCTTGAAGTAAGTCTTTCTGCAGCCGGGGAAGTTGCACACATAGTTCCTCCTGCGAGAAAAGTCCATCTTTGTGGTTGTGGTACTGCCGCTGGGCCCTGCTGGCATGTACACAGGGGCCGGGGCCAGAGGTAGCAGCTTGGTGTTGCCTAGTGTCATGACAGTCTGTGGGCAGTGAGGGGCCTGAGAGACAGAGGATTGAGGGAGAACCAGCATCACGGTACCCTGTGGGACTGCTGAGCCCACAATGAGGGACTGTTGAACAGGGGAGGCGTTTGCTGAGGCGGGTTGTGGGAGGATGGGCGTGGTGGTGGTTCGAATCCCTGTACTGGAGGTCTGAACTGCACCAGGGATGAATGCTGAGATAATACCTGATTGGCTGCTGACTGGGAACATTTGGCAGATGATCTGAGGGTTGGTGACTGATGGTGGGGTCAGGGTTGTGGGTGGAGTGTACTGGCTGATCTGTGGTTGAGGATTGACAGGAGGAGTGGGGGTGGGGACACTGTCTGAAGAGCATTTTGAGGGGCTGGTTGGCTGCTCTGATGTTAAGGCAGGTGTGAGAGGAGCAGCAGGGGATAGAGGTGTGTTGATCTCAGTCTTTGTGATGCGCTGCTGCTGCTGCTGCTGTAGTCGCTGTTGGCAGAGCGTCACAGCCGTTACTGTGTCTCTTGTTTTCTCTGAGTTGGGGGCCACTGGAATGTGGGGTTGGCAGGGGGTGCTGTCTGCTGTGTGGCGGATGACGCTGGTCGCCATGGCTCTGCATGGTTGGGGTGGAGAGGGGAGAGTGGAAGTCTTTTCAGCAATGGGTGCCAGGACAGGTTGATGGAGCCCAGACACACAGTGATGCGAGGCCCCAGCCGGGACCGAGCTGGATATTGAATTCTCAACAAAGCTGGGGCTGTGAGGGGGGGTCATACACTGTAAAAAAAAAAAAAAAGAAAGATAAGAAGAGAGTTAAAGCACTGTTTCTCTATTTTTACAGGGTGTAGTGTCTCCTGAGATTAACATCACAGGTGGCAGGCAGACACACACAGGAATAATGATGACTGAGTAATAAACTGGGATTTTTATGACTCTGCATGGAAGAGGTCACACCCTCTTGCTGTTTCAAGGCCTTTCTTGCTGCAGCACCTCTCACCTGCCCTACTCACATGTCATTAACCATGGCCCCCTTTTGTTATCTTTCACATCAAAAGGGTTAGCAAACCTAGAACCTTTAGGCATATGCTTGCTGACCAAACAACAGCTATCTCTGAGGTTTCATGGCTCCTCTAGCTCCAAATATTATCAAAAAGTTAGGTCCACCCTGCAGGACTGACATACATATTACCCAATACTCTCACCCATTCAGAACCGTGATATCACTTACCAGAGACGAGAGGGACACAAAGTCCTTTGGAGGCTCTGGAAGTTCTGGCGGCAAGAGGGAGTCGCAGGAATCTGAGGCTGGGGTGAGGGGCCGGGGTTTGCAAGGGTTCGGCCTGTTGCTGTTGATAAAGTGACCCTGACCCCAAGAACTCATACACACCAGCGCCTCAGCAGCCTCCAGGTCTGTGTACTCCAGACCAGAGGTTATATTACAGACTGTCTGATCATTGTCATGCCTCTTTCTCTTTGCATAGGACCCATAGTGCTCCATGTACTCTGTCTGAAAGGAAAAATAAATGATCATCAGTCACAGGAAGTGAAATGGACGTGCTTAGGTCTCTTGTGTTATGAGCTGTATTTATTCAGCTTTGACTCATATCTGATCATGTCATACAGCAAACAGGGGCAGGTTTCTATTCAGTGCGCCAGAGCAGGAGAAAAATAATCTATTTCCAGTTATCATCTGCTCTGTCACAGTTCCCGGGCTGAACTGCATGATGCTGCCAATAGGGGAGAGGGGGTGTTGGTGACTACACCCCGGCCCAGCATGCACTGCCTTTGGCTGGGCGCCAGGACACCTCCCATTGCCAAATATAGACCAAACAGTGACGTGCAGCCCGAGATGAGCCATGTGAAATCCCCATAAAGCGGGTTTGCATCAGGAAGTAGGCATGGTGCGTTACAACTTAATAATACATTTTTACAGTGAACAAAGCAAGTTACCTATTGTCAACACAAAGCAAAGCACTTGAAACAGATACTGGACACTGACTGGCTTCGGTTACTGTTTAAATTAAATATTTCATCAAGTTACAAAAGCCACATTGGTTAAATAATACATTCAATAGCGACTGAGTGAAGTGACTGAATAAGTGCGTTACAATAAAGCACTTATTATATTAAGGTTCATCGCGGTTAATTTAGGCATTCTGGGGTAAAAAAGCGACAGGAAATAATTTTATATTACTCGTAAATAAATGTTTAATTTAGCAGGTATGGTAGCTAGAGTCCTGAGATAAAATGGTAGATAAAATCCCATTGTAAACAACAGAATCCAACTGGGTTACTGTGAATAAAATATCGTCCTCAGCTTAAATAGAAGTTTAAAATGTCTCTTACCCCGTTTGAGTCCATGTCTGTAAATTTCCTTGATGGCATTGAAGAATAAAATATCTAAATATGACTTTTTATTGTCAAAGGCAGTACAGAACAAAGAGACGGCGGTTGCCAGTGCTGCTGCCTGTACTGGGGTAGGGTTGAGGTCGTTTTTTCTCTGACTGGCTCCCTTTTCTCTCAGCTGTGTGTGTAAAACATGGGGAGGAGAAAAAAAAAGAAAAACAAAACTCACAACACGCACCGGCGGGTGGCAACACTCGACCAATCACAAATGAGTGTGTGCGGAACCTCGGCCAATGGGGAGGGAGGGAGCGCGTGAACAGTGCATGCCCGCTGGACGGTTGGAGGAAATAGGGTGCGTGGCCGTTGGTGGGCGTGGTCGTGAGAGTCAGCAGTGTCAGGGTAAACCCGATGAACTGCCATCCACTAAACTAGGCGAAAGGTCGGCCCAGTCTATGCTGCGTTCAGTGGATGTGGGAACAAATCCATAAAAATGAACTGAATATTTAATGAAATAGTTTATAAGTTACTTAGGGAGGAAATGATTCTATGGAAGTACTTAGGCTACTCACATGTTGTATTGTAGTGGTGCTTTGTGTTGCAAGAAATGCAAATTCAATCAGTAGCAACAGGACAACAAAGACACTGAGTCTGCTTATCCCAACAAAGCCATGAAAAAGTAAATAAGTAAATGCCAGTCATATGACAACCAAAAAACCAAAATATGGCTTATTGTATTGTTATTAAAGGTACAGTTTACATAGAAATGGGGATATTCTGCACAATCTATCTAATGTCTTGCTACAGGGAGATAAATGCCATTGCTAAACACATCTTTAAGTGTATAACACCTTAAATATATGATTAATCTGTAATGATATCATATTAACATATTCAAACTCAGGAATATACAGCAGTGCGTCATTGGAATTCAATAGTCTATGTTTGTGTTGGGGCTCAGCATGCGTCTGATTCTTTTGTTATGTTTGGGCTTGCAATCCAATCCAATCTGCTTTATTTATATAGCACATTTTAAAAAACATTCAAGGCTACCAAAGTGCTGCAAAATAAAATTAAAAGAACAGACGATGCTGAAAACATCAAAATGAAATAAATAAAAAAAGGTAAAAAAACATATAAAATGAAATAAAATAAAAACACAAAAGCATAAAAGAAATAAAGGTGATTAAAGGACTGTCAAAGACATAAAAGGACAGAGATCACACAACTCTCATGCTGAACTAAAGGCCAAGGAATAAAAATGAGTTCAAGGATGAGTGCAAGGACAACAAAATGTCTGATTAACAATTTAATCTGACTAAAGTGCCGTTCTGAGATCAAACTGGACATAATTTAAAGTATCTGAACACGAAATGCAAAAGACTGCAATGAAAGCTGCTCACTTTGTGAACTAGTAAAAGTTTGTATGGGGTTGTATTCGTATACTAATATTTTCTTTATCGGCATAGTTTAAATGCTATACACGATTGTCAAGATGTTTTCAAGTCAACAAGGTTGTAAACTTTTGGCCTAATTGATCCTAATTGGTTTTAATGTTGAAATGGGTATTTTACGAAAATGCAAAAGTTCTCTCTTAAAAAGAGAAGGGTCAGTGATCACATGACATAAACTCGGCCTGAAGGCAGTCATTAATACAGGACCATTCCCAATGAATTCATATTGTTTAGATACTCGTTCAAAGCAACCCTGTATGTTTTTTTTCTTTGTTTGTTTGTTTTTTACTTGAAAATGAGATATGGGGCCTTAGAGAAAGTCATGTGAACATCTTTATTTCCCACAATACTTAAATGCAGCATGAGGGCCAGATGAGGAATGGGTAGCTGTTCTGTTTTTTTGGGGATGTTTTTGCAGTTTTATTATGGAAAAAAGCATAAAGTGTTTGATAGTAACCTCTCTATGGTGATGCAACACCACCAAGCAACGAAGCAATTAAAATGATTTGTTTTCCTCATTTGATAATTTGAGCTCTTAGCCATGATACCACCATGATAAACGGCCATTTATTAATTTTGATATATATGTGGTTTCACTGTAAATTAGGCCACAGAGTCAAAAGAGACACTTATGATCCTCGGTTAATGATATGTGAATCAGACAACAATGTTCCTGGTGTTCTCCTCTCTGGTCATGACACTTGTTTTTCTGTGGGTGTAACCGCCATAAGGAATTCTTGGGTTGAGTCGGCTGTAGTGCCTCTTTTATATATGAGGGAGGCACATATAGAAAGCACTGTGTGACATTTTTGATTTATAAATATCTAAGACGTCGAAATAAAGATTGTTCCCAGAAGCATTTAAATGTACAGTTGGCTTGCACTGATAAACTATTGTCCTCTGTGCAGAGAAAACTTTGTTCCACTTTTTTTTTTACCCTAGTTACAAATATTCTCCATAAATGTTAATGTATGCCAGCCGGTTTTTCTATAGCATATCATCTGACAATTACTATGAAATCATGCCTTCAAGTAAAGTGGGGAAGTGTCAGAGGATTCAAACTAGTTTTGACCTACATATGTTGTTACATCACCAACTGTATCTGGACAAAGAAAAGTTGAGTCAGATGTCCCAACAAACTTCTGGAAGAACAATATGAAAGGGCTCAGGTTTAAAGTTTTCAGTAATGCAACCAAACATGCTTTGGTAAAAAAAAAATAGTAGGCCTGGTTTTATGTTTATGAGCACGTGGTCCAGCTAATCTTATTTTGCACCTCTTGTTTTCATGAAAAGCGCCTCTATACACATGTCTGATGCATTCCCTTTTTGCCAAATAGGTAAACTGGCATGTGGAGGTGGCACACCTGCAACAGAAGGGAGTTCAGCAGGTGCGTTGGCCCAGCCCTTGTAGCGCCTCGCTTCACCCGTAGGCCGTGCCTCACTTGGAGTAAGTCACATAAGCATGACCTCAGAGAGCAATGAGGGCATGGAGCTGTGGCGGTGCAGCTTCAGCTCCTGCAGCTAGCGAGGAAGAGGGAGGAGTCACGGGGACAACGAGTCGAACGCAGGCATGACAGGCAGAAGTACAGCAGCCTGTTTGTGATATAAGTGGGGCAGGCCTCTTCAACTTAGTTAGGGAATCTGGAGGAAAGGTTACGCAGGCCTTATCTGGGCCTCCGCATGCACACCTCCCCTGTTCAGCCAACTCCCCCATCTCAGGCACTCCTGAGGCGGACTCAAAATGGGGGGAGTTACCCCAGCAGGGTTAAATATACCACCCAGAGGCTGTATTTCACTGACAGTCCCTGAACTCTGACAGGCAGCCACAGGCCGGGTTATATAGACAAGAATGTTGCTCTAACAGGTATTAGATACGCTTAAAACAAATTAATAGGACACGGAGTGCCGCAACAGGTTTGACCATAATAAACAAAATTTATTAAAGGTAGTCACAGGTAATATTTATAATAATTTAAAATGTTGAGTCTGATGACATTCATTTAACAGCTTTGTTTTTTCAGCCACACACTTTAAGTTTCATTAAATTAAAAAAAAAAAAAAAAACAAGAGAGAGAGAAAACTGACATGTGAGAACATGCTCGGAAAACATTTTTTTTGCTTTAACGGTTTTAAGATGGGAATACTTACATTGGCTTATTTCTTTTTTTATTATTCTTATTTTTTGTCAAATAATTTTGGTATCTTCTGAAAAAAAAAAACAGATATTCAGAGCCACAGATCCCCAAATCTTCATTGCAAAAAGGGTATTATTATTCAACAAATCCACCTGCATTAATGTTGCCAAAACATCAAAAATACAAATTTTATCTTTACCGGTTTGTTCAACACAGCAAACAAATCTGCGCCTTTCAGCAGAAAAGTAGCTTTACCTGAAAGACATAAAGCACCCTTGCAATGTACTTTTAATCAAAGTAAATTTTGTTTAAATGAACCACAGAGGCAAAATGGCTTAAATGTAAGCATGTGTGCTTGAATACTATGATATTCCTCTCATACATTTTCAGAATTTTGTGTTGAAATGCCACAGCAAAAGCAAATAATGATGTTACACAATTACCCAGAATGCTTTGTCAGCTCAGCTGAACTTGTGGAAAACAGTCAGTCAGAAGCTCCTCTGGCATCTGGGTTAAAGGACACAGTGAGTAATGATACCCCGGGCTGTGTGCAAAACCTCTGCAGGAGAATCTTTCTACCTTTCTTCTGCCTCTCTTTTTGTTTCCATCATTCACTGCATACTTTAAGATCGATGCAAACTGAACATGAACAGATTCCCTTTATTGAAAGTTTGCTTTGTGTCTGGGGTATGACAATCACGACCAAAAAGGCAAATAATCAGTTACTTTACTCATAATAACCTGATGTGAAGGCCAAGCAAGCCAAGAAAGACTAGCAGAAGTATGTTAAGTTTGTTTGTGCAAGCACTCACCCTAAAAAAGTAAGCTGTAGATCATTTTTTTGAGTGCTAAGAAATTCTTCTAGGACAAATCAAGATTCAAAGTTTGACCCCCAAAGTAGAAGTTTATTCTTTATTTTTCACCCTCTTGATTCAAATTTTGAGTCATTCATTTCAGCTCCTAAATCGTAACACATTCATTCGTTTTTACTTTTAAATGTCGCACTATGGCCAAAAATCTGTCATAAATATTTGTTAACCACATATTATTCCCCTTCATATAGAAATGTCAGATTGGTATTTTTGTTTAATTATTAAAAACCAAATAGGTTAAAATTTAAGGTCACTGTTTAGATTTTAGATTTTAGACACACAGTAGCTTGTTGTGATGGTATTCTTGAAAGCTTTATCAAAGGTTCATTGAATTGAAAGTTGAGATCATTTCACTGTACAAAAGTAGAACGTTCTGATTCTTCATTAATGAGGATAGCTTTAATTTTTGGGTCTGGTTAAAAAGAAAAATATTTACCTCTGATTTTGTATCCTTGTTGAAAATTATGCTTCAAATTAATTGCTATAAAGATACAGTAACACATTTTTTAAGATTTTTTTAAACCTAACTGAAATTTATGTGAGTTTGGGTGTTATAGATAGTAAATACTGCCTGACAACGAACCATACGAGCTGCAGTATGACCAGCCTCTTATAGAAAACCCTATACTGCATGATGCTTTGTTTATCTCACAGTATATAGCTCCGCCCCCTTTTTCCTCCTACACATAAGAAAGAAGCAACAGGAATTCCTCTACAGGCTTCTAGCCTCTGATTGGTCAAACTGTGATTCAGAGCCAATCTGTTGCTAAGAGACACTGACTCTGTGCTGCCAGCTCGTTGTCTGTTGTCATGGAAACATGAGGAGCAGAAGGCAGGTTGAGGCCTCCCAGGAGGAGCTTGCCTGGAGATCAAGCATGTGTGGAGCCTAATGATGAAGGCTCGGAGAACTGTGATATCATTTAAGTGCACAGTCTGAATAATTCGCTGTCTAGATGTCTGCAGCTGGTTTCCCTTCACCCATAGTTCCCCATAAATGAGCTGCAAAAGAAGACCATGCAGGTATTTAGTCCTCCCGCTTTCTGAGACCTTTATCATGTAACGCCTTTTGTTTTTTGATCAAATTTCAGCGTTGTCAAACCAAAATTGTGTATTTAAAAGCAAATGCCTTGATACATAGAGCAGATTGAATGAATAAAATATAACTGTATACCAAAAAAGAAAGAAGACAGCATGCTGGAGGACATAGAAATCAACTAAAGTTAGAAAGAAACAACTATAAGGAATTAAACTGAAATCACATGTTGATTTCAAAGACAGGTTAAAACCACCTTGAGGTCTTTCTTTTATAGAGTTGTGAAATAGACTGAAAAGAATAACAATGTCTCCTTAAAACAAACAAAAAACAGATTTTTCTTGTTTAACACTCAACCTACACCAGCACAGGACAAAATCAGCAAAGACATACACATATTGCTTTGTTTAAAATCAACACAAACCAAAATCTCCACACATGGGCTTTGATAGAGGAGAAAAAAGAAAGTAAGGGGACAGAAAACCTGAATTTATTGCCACAGTGAGTTTTCAGTATATGTACACTTCGTCTCACGCTGATGGCTTTACAGTGGACTACTTTTAACAAAGAAAAAAATATTTCACATCTACTGAACCATTTTCAAATCAGCATTTTATGTTAATCCCTGATAAATATGCCAAGTATCTGTGGAATAACATCCTAGACCATTGTTAAGGTTTCAATTATTGCTGTGTTGACATTTTTACATGCAGCCTCTGAGATATCTGTCTGGATGATGACATCTGATGTTCAATAACAAAGCAAATGTCTGCAGTGCTGCAGAGAGCTGCAGTTGCTTGAGTGTCCACTTGGGGCTCACAGCAAAAACCCAGGAATCCCTATCAGTGCCCTACATTTACTTTAACACATCCACTGAGATTGTATCAAGTAAGCCACAGGACGACTCATGTGCACCCCATGTTTTGAGGCTTTTGCTCTAGTCACAAGAGTTTTACCATTGTGACCATTGGACCTCCAGTTCCTGGGGTGGACCATTTATCAAGAAAGTAATTCACAGCTGCAATCGCTGCTGCTGGGACATAGATCTCTGATTTTACGCTCTTAAAATAACTGTACAGTTGCTATAACCGTATCAGCTTTAGTGTGTCCTCTGTAGCTTAATATGTACCAGGCAGTGAAGTCTACTGTGTTTCAGTGACATACAGTCTTAACAAGTCTGTTTTGATAAGGATTGTTTCTCCTGTCATTACATCAAAATTTTTGATTGGGCATGTTATATCACCCAGCAACCCACACACATTCAAACACACAAACACCTACACAAACAAACTCATGCACAGACCCACTCACACTCAAGCCTTGATGACTTGTTTGCTCTTGATTCGTGCTTCATTTAGTTTGGGAAACTTTGTAGAAACAATTCCAAACTTATGTCCAAGAAAAGTTCACATATGATTATATTTTCATGACAAAAAACACATGTTTGACTGTACAGAGCACAATATTGATCTAGAAATATGATCTTGGCTCTAAAGGCTCAATAATACTACAGTTGTTTGACTTATATTTACACCTCCACATAAAGTGCATTGGCCATATAGCTTGGGGTGGGAACCATGTGCTTAGATAAACACATTAAACAGCCTATGTTCCTTGTTACTTATATAATCTTTTAGCGTAATAAAACAAAAGGGGTTCATTCATAGTTGAAGTCTTTTGGATCTGCTGCAGAACTCTGATTTTTGTTAAATGGCACTGTAATGTCTTGAATGAATGGTTCTCAGATATTCATACCCTCATTTGCTTCAGAAACAGAGAATCCAAACATAGGTGAAAATTTGACAAAATCTGTTGGCAGCTCTTCACACAGAACAGAATAAGACTGGAAAGTTTGTTTGTATGTTGTATCTTACTGACTGCAGTAAACTCCTCTGTGTTTGTGGCTTGTGTTTCAAGATGACCAAAAGGGGAAGATGGTCTTCGCTGTGCATTTAATTCTATTCATATATTTCATAGCACTGGCAGTTTTTCATTGCTCTACACTGTGCAAGTTTCTTGGATGAACAGTAATAGTCATAGTTTTCGCTGTGTGGGTACAGTGGGTGTATATTTTCAATGATGCTTTTTTTGGCTCAAAGGCTGAATCACAGAGGCACAATGAAAAAAATCATCCCGTTATGTCACCAAGTCCACGCACAGTGAGTGAAAACCTTCACAGCATGGGGGGGAGGTTTTACTTTGAAGAGCAGTTGAAGTGAACTGAACTGAACTACATGAGCAAGTCCTAGAGAGACTGTAGTGTGAGACCTAACTTTGTGTGCTACAGATGCATCTGCCAACTGTGATTTGCTGCTGCATTTTCAGAGTCCTGAGCACAACCTACTTGCGCAATTGTGACATGTTCAGCGTCTTCCTCTACAAAACACTGATAACTCTTGCCATCGTGGAAAATTACATGAAAACATGTTTACTAAACCAAGATAGTACATTGTGATGAACGAGGTGTACCCTTTATCATGTGAGCAAATCAGGTACCACTCTTTCAGGGGATGCTTTAGAGTTGAAAAAGTAAGGTACTTTAATGTCAATCTAGTCAGCCAGCACCAGCTTTGAACTAAAAACCCTCTCATTAAAGCCTCATAACACTGCAATTCCACGACAGTGCGGGAACAGAGCTCCACCATCATTATGCCTTTGTACTTGCACACTGCAGAAAGCTGTAATATTGTTGTGCCAGTAAGTCATGACCATTGACTGTAGATAGAATGGACAGCGTCTGCCTCCTCGCTGGGTGAAGCCACTCTGAGAACAGCACCCTCTGTTGATGGGCTGCAGTATAGGTCATAAATCCCGCCTCCACCTGCAAAGCTTATGGGACTTTGGACAAACTTTAGAAATTTATTACACAGGACATACATTTTTCTCCCCTCTTGCGGTGTTGACATGTAGTTATTGTAAGACTGGTTTGTGCCCAAGTCCTCTTTTTTCTGTGAAGCTCTGTTTTTAAAAGTTATTAGGGGGTTCATGTTTTCTATGATTGACACCTGATACAGCCTATGGGCGTTCAGGGATTGCGTCGCTCACCCGGGGATACGCTGTTTGAGCCGAGCGTCATCACAGTGACTCTTGGCAACTGTGCGGCCGAATGCGCGCATCGCTACTGCACAGCGCTGGTTTCAGGAAATGAAGAAAAAACCCGGAAATACAGAGAGCTTTTTGCCTTCAAATACGTATACAGGCAGTAGACGGAACCAAGTTGTCCATAGTATATACAGTCTATGGTCAAGACACATTGTTTTATGTCTTTGGAGGAGCACAAAAGTAGGGTGACCATATTCTGACTTCCCCAAAAAAGTACATGTCACGGAGTCACACAAAGTTAATTTTGAGTCTTTTGGGTCATATCAAGTGTCTTTTACATGCTTCTAACTCAGTAAGTCCACGTGACACAAAATCGAAACTTACCTACAAAACCGCAGACATTTGAAGGATTTTATAAACTTTCTTGGACAAAGCCGGACAGCCTCCAAAAAAGGGGAAATGTCAGATTAAAAGAGGACGTATGGTCACCCTAACAAAAGGCTTATCAACAAACAGCTGTGGCTCCACATACACACACTAAGAAATGCTGACACACACAGTGCTGTTCTGCCCTGCCAGCTCTGACACATTGCCTCCTCTTTTTCTCCATTACAACCTCCAGAGGAGGATCAGAGCAGAAAGACCATTACATTACATTACATTACCACCCACCATTACATCTTAAAAACAGAGTATCTATTGCTGTTCAAGTGTAGTTTCAACATGAACCATTGGGCAAATGCAGACTCTGGGGAATGATCTCAATTCACTGAAATAAAGGAATGACCCTCTCCTTGGGAATTTGGGATTCATACCTGTCATGTTTTTGCATAATGATCTAGATTCAATGGATAGTGGCAGTAGCAGTGTTCTTAGACGTAGTTTGAAGTAATAAGAAATGTTCATGATGATGCATGACTTTCAAAATCAAACCCCATTTCTTTTTTTTGAGTGACTATGTAAAAGAAACAAGTCTCTGAAAATGTATCATTAAACAATATATGAAAATGTGAAAAGTTGCACCCAATCTAGAAACCATAAGGAGCAGAACCTATTTCAGAGGTAACTTCAGAGAGATTACAGTGCCAAAAGAGGAATGTGTTTGGTTTTCCCAAAGTTCGAAACCAGAGCTGAGCGTAAAGCTGCGCTCAGCATGTTTGAACAGTATTGAAGTAGGTCACTTGTGGTCTGGGTGAGGGTATGCTGTCATAAGGGAGTGCAGTTAGACAGAGCAGAACCCAAACTAGTACAGAACTGCAGCTCAGAAAAATCTCAACAGCAGTCAAGTATGAGTCATCTGTTTACTGTAAACATACTGTAGTTCAGTCTGTCAAACAAAAGTTTGGTACGAGGTCAAATTGTTCAGAGAAGCAGTTTCACTGAGCTGTGAACTTAAAAAAAAGTATTAATAATTACAAGAAGTTTGCATCACCTGAGTTTAAGAGACATTCCTTAGTACAATATTCCATGTAAGACATCAGCAACAACAAGTAAAAGTCCCTAAACAGGTCATCTCTTCCCAGCAGAAACTAGTTTCCAAGAAAGTCACTGAATGATGAAAGTGAAAATGTCCACCCACAGAAGTTCAAAGTGAATCAGCAAAACTTCCAAACTAACAAACAGGAAAAAAGATCTCTGTACAATCACTCATCATGAAAGAAAGATTTTGAGAAAAAAAGGAAGTTAAAAGGTCCTGCTGATCTCACTGCGAGTGAGATGTGAAAATTTCAAGCAAAGTTTGAAAAATCTGTTTTGTATTCATATTTTAAAAGCTTTAAAAAAACATGATCATCACCATGATTATTATTACTACAGGGATTTAAGGTAGGTGAGATAAAATGAGGTGATAAAAAAGAAGACACTTGTCAAATTGCAAAAATAGCTGTAATGTACCGTGGCCTGGGGGGTCAACTGCTAAAACTTTACACAACCACGAAAAACAATTTATGAAACACAAAAAGAGTAAAAATATTCATTCAAACATAAAAACATTTCACAAAATATTTAACATTTAATCAGAATTTCTAAAATGTATGATCTATTGTTAAGAAAATATCACATAAACAAGAGATATCTCACATCTGAGTTGAGAACCTTTCCACTGTCCTGACCTCACCTCGGGTCATCCATATGAGAACATAAGCTGCATGTTGACAGTGAGAGTTTGAATAAGGACACATCATCAGGAGGAACCAGGCCTGTTGAGAGGGACTGTTAAAGAGCAGATGGCCTCGCACATAAGGACATCAGCGCAGCTCACAGCTACGTTGGCTCGGCTAGCTGGTTAATTTGTAACTGAATGAGTCTAATGGCCTTCCTGAACCTGCAGCAGGAACAGTCAGAGAGTTTCATTTTTTATGATGTTGCCAGTAGATACCAGACTGATGGCATCATGAGTCGGCCGTATGACTGTTATGATAAACACAGAGCACGCACGTATACATGAGTCAGGTCTGTCACACTGTAACTATAACTTTATCAACTTCTAAGTGACTGAAATGTCTTTTGTGTACTTTTTTTTGAACATTTAAACATTTTTGAGCAATAAGTGATGAAGTAAACAAAGTGTACCTTAAATGTCATTTAAATGAAATAGGAAGCCTTTAAGGATCCTAGTACAGACTCTCTTACACTCTATGAGCAGTAGGGGGGGCTTGACTCTATATTGTTGAGTAAGGTGAACGCAAACAGTTGCATAATACAAATGCTCACAGACGAGCAAGAATAGACCAAAAAGAGAGCTATTGTACTTAACATTTGGGATTTGGTCATCAGCCAGGATAATTATAGCAGTGTGGATGGTCAGTCCAGCAGGTTTGCTTTTTTCAACAGTATTAGAGACTTTAAAAGGTACAAACAGAAATGTCTTTATTCGCTCAACTGGCTCCATAATTATACAGTCTGTTGTCTGGACCAAATTTAAAGGCTATCTAATAGTTTTTAACACATTTTACCCAAACTTTATCCTTAAGGTCTCCCCTCTCCCCTGTAAAGCTAAAGACATCCCAAGAGCTGGAAGTGTCCATCCAAAATTGTCCTTACTTCCCCCCTGAGATAATTAAACAAACAGCTAATGATAAAAATAACAAGCCTATAATAAATGAAAAGGGTGTAGCAGAAATGTGTGGCCAGGTTCCTGTAGGAGCCGTCCTGTCATGTTTCCTGTCCACATGGTGAGGGTTGATGCCCGGACATCTGTTCATTTGGATCAACATGGAAAACACTGGCACACACACACCTTATCTCTGCTTCAGCTCAACACATTAAAACATTTTCTCTCCATAGACTACAAATCTATTTAAAAACTATCTTATACCACAAAAGATATATTTGGCAAAAAAAATGAAACAACACGAAAGAATATGAAGAAGTCTAGACTTTATTGGGCACTTTGTGCATCAAATCCTTTACAAAAACGACTTTAAAAACATGTTAATAAATCCCTTGACATTTGATGTTAGAATAGCTTTTTATAAAATGAAAAAAAAAACACATTATATTAATAAGAATAAAAGAAGTTTTGATATATATGGTAAAAAAAAGAAACATTGACCCACATCCATTCTCTTAATAAATATATACACAATAAGTACTGAGATACAAAAGAAGAGATCACATAGACCCTTTTGTCAGCTGATATGTACAACAACATTTCAATTGAACAAATTTATCAGTTTCAATTTCTCACTCTTAAGTTCATGCTGTTAACAGGGATGTTTTTCTGGATGTGTCCAAATCTAAATAGCATATTGCACTTCCAGTGCAGCCTGTGTGGGCTGCACTAGACATTCATTGACCTTTTTCATTAACATCCAGAAAACTGCTCTACGGTTAGGGGAAGCTGTGTTTTTCGCATTATTATTATTAATATATTTCTTAGCTTTTAATACTTACAAAGAGGCCCTTATTTTAGCTGATATGAGAGGAAAAATCATTTGAGCCGTTACACATTGAAAAAAAAGTATCCTATGCAAAATAATACAACATTTACAATAGTCTACACTAACAGTATGATGGTTAAAGAAAGTTTCACACACTAAATACTGCCACGTTGTTTGGTATTAATACACTGGAAGCACTGTGGCTCCAAAAAAATATGCTGACTTAAGTTTGTGCACTTAATACCCAACTTTTACAAATTGTAATCATCAGTGCTATGGCTTTACGAAGGGAAAGACAAGCCCGTTCTCCTTGTGGAGCTACAACATATGAGAAACACTGCTGCTTGCAAAGCTTGAGGTATAGCAGCACCACAAACACTGCACAAAAATGTACATGTGTAGGCACTAACATTTGAGGCACAAGTAGGTCAAGATGAGTCAAATTGTATAACCTGAATATCTTATCAACATTTATGATCATTTAAGAGCTATGGCTGTTTCAATTCCTGTTGTGGGATTTTATCTCTCATCATCTGTTTATTAAAAAGGCACGAACACAAACATGCTTTACGTTTTACTGCATGTACAGTTAGGCATGTAAACCACCACTCCCGAGGACTCCATCGCTCCGCTCCATGTGATGTCACATACTCCTGTCCAATCAGATTTCAGTGAGGGTGAGTTTGTACATGCCGCCCTGCTCCTCCATGGTTATCTGGAAGGTGTCTTCATTGGAGTAGTGTTTGATGATATTGTCATCCATGTGGACAAGAATCCTGTTAAAGAGTTCGAGTTAGAGACCAGTTTGTTTCACCCCAATCCCACAGATTAAAAAAATAAAATGTGACTTAAATTCTGACTGATTTGGACATTTTACACCAAAAAGCACTTTGAGAAATTAAAAAGTTTCCTTTGAAAGCATTTGTTTTCTGATTTCTTTGAGGCACACTTCTCCACTTCCTTAAAAAAAAATTAATAATAGCCTAGTTAGCTTGATTTAGCCTACAAAACTGATAAAACATCTAGCCTTACTCTACCCCATTATATCTGTGATAAGTCAATGTATTCAATTTTTGTCACTGGCAAATCAAGCTAAGCTAAAAAGATATGTTTTATATTTCAGATATAGAGAAGAGACCAAAATTATATCACACTGTTTTCTTGATTAGAGAATGAAAAAAAAAATCCCTCAATTTCTAAAAACATCTCTTTATGAACATCAATATTCAGTTTGCCTTGTGTCTTTCATTTAATAGTTTTGTTTATATGTCTTGCGAGAAAGGCAAGATCTCTTGTATAACAATGGTGGCCTCTTGATTTTCCTGGCATCATATTTTCTGTAGACTGATGCATTTGCAATGAATGAATGAATGAATGAACAGGCAGTATTTCCTGACTACAAAGCTCTTCTTGCTTTGTTCTAAAAATGAAACACATCCTTCATTATGAGAAGTTGTGTTGGATTAGGCAAAACATCAGTTTCTTCAACATGTTAAAATTGACTTAATGCTCACGGAGCTTGAGTATGAAAATTTAAAAATGTGTGTTTTATATTTTATCTTTAATATACTTATGTCGATAAAGATCAACCTTGTATGATGACTTGAAATAGATCAAAACAGCAGCTAGTTGATTGCTTACGTTTTACTTTATCACAAATTACTGAGGTTGAAAAACGTGAAGATTTAAAGTTGCAAATGTCAGTTATGTGGGTTGTTCCTGTGAGGGAGTGATATCTTCAGAGACCTGGTGAAGTGTGTGACTGTGTAACTGATTCATACTCACCCTTTCTTGCACTTCTTATAGACTTTTCCAATCTTGTCCAGAGGTAATTCATACTTCTCTGCAATCTGGGTGAGAAAAACACAAGTCAGATATTGAAAGACACATCCTATCTCACATGACTTCTTATCATAACAAAAAAAAAAAAAATGGCACTGTATGTAATCTTCACACACACTTTAGTCTATGAAATCTACTGTTCATGCTTCATAGTTACTGTTAAAAAGCCCCATACTCTGTTTTCTTGACTTAGTTACCCCCAAAGTGTCCTTGTACCTTTTCGTTACATAACAACTTAACATTTTTTTCCTCATCTTTCCAGTAAAATCTCCCCTTTTTTTTTTACCCCTCGTGTGTCCTCTTTTGACTCACACACCACCCTCCTCTTTCTCTCTTGCCCAAATCCACTCATGATTATTCTCATCTTTTTCCCGACTTCATTTCTGGGTCGATTGCCAAGACACACAGTCGTAGCGTGCACAGCCAAGATTTCCATAAACCATCAGTGTGACCACAATGAAATGAGGAGAACTTACAGCTTCCACCAGGCCTTTCAGTGTGGGATTCTTCAGCATGAGGGCGTCAAACACCTCCTCTGTCTCTTTGCGCACGTACAGAAGGACTGTGTGGTTAAAAAAAAAGACAAGCGGGCGTCAAAGCACAGCACATATGTTCTCGAAAGAACAAATCAAAATCTGGCCTCAGAGAAAGGTCACTGGCATGACTGTTGGGTGTATTTGCGTCAAACTAATTTTTGCCATTTGTGTGGGATCTGTACTTTGACTGTATGGTTCATCTTGACTTCAGAGTAACTGAGCTACAATAAATGCCAACTTACTTTTTTCAAAGAAGTAGATATGGAATAAAACACAAGAGATGTTTGAACCTAAAACTACCCCCTGCCTGGCTGCCTGGGCACTCACCCTTTGGCCCAAACAAAGTGCACCTAGAAAGCACACACACCTTCGAATACACAAACAGAAGGATGAGCACACCTCTCATTCACAACCCTTAAAATAGATTGTGCCGCAAATAGATTTTCTCGGTTGTTTTCCAATCTGTTGGAGAAGCTTGTGATATTTGCGGCCTCTAAATACAACACATTCTCCTCCTGCTTTTAAGTAAGCGTCTATTTTCAAAATGTAACTACGGGAGTTACCAGTAGTCTGGAGACATTTGTTTGTGGGGCTCAACCAAATGACAGAGAAGTGAAATAGCATGGTGAGTGACTGTTTTGTTTCGTGATGCTGCAGTATGTATGGGCCAAAGTTTTGCAACGTGGAGCTGAAATGGGCGTCTTTGTTGGAGACAGACGTCATTAAAGAGAGTCAGTTTGATGTCTGTGTGATTCCACTCAAACCATCAAGAAACAACCCATTCCCTCACAGGAAAATCATACCAGCTGGGGAGCAGAGGTTATACAACTCTGGTTGACTAACAGCTTTGCACTTTTTGCAGAGCCATACTTCATTTCGTTTTTACACCATACATACAATATCCTACATCTGGATTCAAGTGAGTCCAATTGTGTTCATCCTTTTTATGCTAGTGGCCCTTAAAATTAGGCTGGTTTATGACCTATAATCAAAGGTTACAGATTGGACGTGTTGTGAGCACTTCAAGGACTGCATTTAGTTCTGGAAATTGTCCATTTATGGGACCTTAAGAGGCCTGAGAAGCTGGAAAAATCCAATATTTCACAAAAAGCAACAACAAGGAGGGCATGTGAAGAGGTATGTTATTTTAAGCGTTCGAGCGGTGTCCTGTGACTTCTGTTTTTTCCAAAAATGTACTGGATCATCAATGTGGTCCACTGATTTATTCAGAGTATGTCTGATCAGGATCAATTGGTCCTCTACAGATGGTTTCCAGACGTAAACCCTGCAGGGCAAATTGTTATCTTAAAAAACCTGGCTTGGCTCTGTCAAGCTACAGACTACACACAGGTACATTTAAATCAGATCAGGGATAAAGAAGTTTTGAGCAGATAAAAGTAGAGCACAGGTGTTTCAAACTTTCTCCTCATCTTAAAGCCGAAACTCACATATTTTCATCGAAAAATCCTGCTGAATGTCTGAGAAAAGGATGTAGGGTAAAGGGCACAAGCTTGTTTGTGTGTGCACCAAGTAATCAGTGGTATTTTGTTGGGTCAGTCGAGGCCTTAGACACGTGTGTGTGTGTGTTTTGAAAGGACTGGAATGATCACATGGCTCAGAGTGTATGTGTGTGTGAGTGTGTGTGAGTGTGTCGGTGCCAGTTGTCCTCACGGGCCGATCACAGCTAACTCACACACGTGAACACGCATGAGCGCAGTCTTTAACATACTGACCCCCGACTAATCAGCATGTAAAGAGTCAAAGCATTTCACCTCAACAAAAACAACAACAACAACACACATGTTGTACCTTTCTTTGGCTCCTCCGCCCTGGCTATCTTGTTCGGGGGTGAGCCAAACTCGTCATCACTGAAGGGTAATCTCTTCATGCCAGAGCTGCAGTTGAAACACGCACACATACACACAAATCACTTCTTAAATGTTCTTTAACAACCAGCTAACAGGCTATAAAACACTCTCAAACTCAGATACACACACATGCACATATAGCCCACAGGCATTTCCTAGAAACAGCATACAAATCCCTTTATGCCTTTCACTTGGAAAGAGCCAAAGGTTGTCTCAGTTCAAAGCTATCAACAAGCCAGTGTGGAAAAAGTACATGTAAAATCAGGACTTGTGTGAACTCACCTGTCCTCTCCATCTTCCGTTGAGAAAGGCTGCAAGAGAAACAAACAAAGACATTAATGTCCATGGCTTCAAAGGTTAAAAAACAACGAATATTGATAAATATAAATGCAAATATCTGTGGCTAACATTTATTTCACTGATTTTATTATAAAGTCTTCCATTAAAGTTTAAAACTTTGACTTTGTATCTGCTGCAGGTCTAACTCAGAAGAATCAGGTCAAAGGAAAAGTAAACGGGAGTCCAAGAGGTTTCTCATGTTGAACCATTTTCCACCTTTATCACACTTATTCATTTCAATCCTGCGTTGAGTATATTAGTTTATACAAAGTCCTAAAATGTAAATAGCAGTGTTTCAAAGTGCTGCACAAGATACAGAGAAAAAACTAGCTAAGAATCGTAATAAAATCAATTGAAAAACGTGCATGTATCCCCTCCAGCAGCTAATTGTGTTTAATAATGAATGAAATAAATCAAACATACACTGTTTGATGTTTCAGTTCCCAGAAGGCCAACATTATTTGATCCTGTTGCCCTGCGACTGTATTGATTGGCGTTGTTGCCGTTAATAGAAGTCTATTCTGAGAGGGAACCCTGAGGACCCAGAGTTTATCAGAAACTGATAACAGCTCAGCCAGGTTCAATGTCATCGGGAACACCAAAAATAACCACCTGTCTCTCCTTTAGACTCTCTGTCTACTAAGTAAACACACAGAGAGCATGACAAAGAGAGATAAGGTACTGGGACTGCCCCTAATGTGACCAGCAGGGGGAGCTCAAAGTTCACAAATAGTCAAATTTCTGAATGAATAGAAATTTCACGTCTATTAAACATAAAGCAACCAATCACTTCATTCACAGAAAACAAGAACCTGAGAGGCCTCTCAAAATAAATTTGCTGGAAAAGTTTACAATAACGAACACCTGAACAAAGCTCAGAGTTAAGTCATAAAGAAAAGGTCTGCTGGCCAGCGTTGATAAAAACCTGACAGACTGTAAACATGCTTTAAAATACCAACATCTGCATATATCTGCAGCTTTTTTGACCGAACAAAGTCTCTGTCAGAACAGACACATTAATATTGGATCTTCTGAGCTCCTCTTGTTTGTTTGGACTCACTGGTAAATGATTCATCCTGTGATTAAGCAGTCTAAAATACTGCTGTGACTATGTGGGCCTCCTATCAGAGCAGGAAACTAGAACTGTCTGTTCCTGCCAACTAGCAAGCACGCAGGTCACCTCGACCCAGCTGGTCTGTGAGTAGGTGGAGGCAGAAAAATAAAATTGGTTTATAGGAAACCTAAGATGCCACATAGGGTGCATGAATGTATCAAGATCTCTGGTAATGGTGAAAATGACAGAAATATGAGCTGGTCTGTACAGAGCTGACTGTATAAGGAGTTCTGTGTCTTAATCTGGCACTCACATGGCGCTGAAAAGTAGAAAAGTGAATGTCAGGGATGAAGAGGACAGGCTGAGTCTCGAAGTCAGTCATCATTTTGAAGATGGTCACATCATTCCGTTTCTGCAGGAGAGGGACTTTGACATCGACGACTGAAAGGGAAAGGCAAACCAGTTTAAAGCAGTTTAAAAAAAAAAAAAAAAGAAAGAAATCTTGAGGATTGTAAGATGTAAACATAACACTGAAATTTCACATGGACCATTAACTTACAGCTTTATATAAATGCTACAGCAAAGTTAGCAAAAGTATGTCATGTTACATAAAGTAAACACAGAGAGGTATCAACTCTTTTCAGGTGTTTGTTACCAAGCACCTATGACAACATTTACTCTATTTTTAACTCAAGTTTGTTCCACAGTTACCCCCTGACTTATGAGCGGGTAAATGCTACGTCATGACCTGTAGCTAGCAGCTAATTGTGCAGGGCAGCTAGCTTATAGCAGGTTCTTTCTCCCTCTTGTTTTCTCTCTCTTTCTTTCTTTCTTTCTTAATCTTTCCAATAAAAACAGTTACTGAACTGAGCTGCACAATTGAGCGCTAGTAAGCAAAATAATGGGCCAAACTATAAGACAAAAAGCTAAATTTGTGCTAAGAGGAGCAGCAAAGTAGAGTAACTTTTACCATGTGTGTACTTTTCATACTACTCAGTTAAAATGAATTGTTCAGGAAAAGTATTCTATCAATTATGCAGCATTAGGACAAAAGAGATTATCTAGAAGTCTTTATGTTATCAGGTTTGAGAGATTGTAACTTAAACTGAATAGGTAAATGATATTTTATGTAGTGATTAACAGCCACATAATTGAGTTAAATACAAAATAATTTTGGATGTTCACAGGTATAATCCCTTTATCCAAAGAAAGTAAATATTCTGTATCTTAATAAACATTGTGATTTACATCCATTGCTAATTTTAATACTCTTAGATTACGTGAATGGTAGGGATAATGTTAAAAAAAGACCCTTGCTTATATCAATGCGGTGTCAGGGACCTTCATGTACACATCATGACTCACAGGCAAGGCCGGGGTTCAGCTCAGCAACCTTTCCTTTCCTACGGGACTGCTTCCTCTCCTCGTCCCGGATCTTCCTCTCGGCCCCCTTGTCACAGAAGACTTTGATCTGGCAGTAGGCGCGGTGGATGGGCTTGTTGCTGCGGTTGTTGTAGCTGTAGGTGTCAATCTGCAGGTTCAGAGGAAGACCCTTCACACCTTTCTGAGAGGAAAAATCTGTGCTCAGACAGTTGACAGAGATGAAGATCTGCAAAGAGAAGAAGGAAAATAAGACAAATGAGGATCAACTGTGCAAAGATAGAAAATTTAAAATCCAAAACATCTGAATATTTCATTTGGAAACAAAATAACTTAAGTATGCTTGACGCCTAACCTCCTCCTCTGGATCATACATATATCATATTAGCATCATTGTGAAATACTTAGGGCCTTTCTCCTGTCTCTGTTGTCACTCATCAGCCTGTGCTGCCCTCTTCTGGTTGAATTCAGTAATCAAAGCCTGAAATATTTCCTTCTGCGGAAAGCTCCTTTGTTTCCGTGTTTCAGGGGCACCCATTGTGTTAACAGCACACACCATCAAAATGGTCTTCAGAAACATCTTATGGAGAAGATTCAGGGGGTCGGTAGCAGATATCAAGTGCAATATTAATATTGGTAAAAAGCTGAAATCGGATACTCTGTTTGAATGTATTTTTTAGAATTAATTCATCAAAAGCATCTAGAGTCTGTCTTTTTATTGGTCAATACTTGATTTGTATATTTTTGCAGCAAGGACTAGTTTAAAGAGCTGATGTTTGGCTAAAATATCATCTCCAACTATTTTATCATTCTGCTTTTAGACTACAAAAGCTTTTCTTTATAAGGATACTGCAAATATATAAATTATTTGTATTTACAATGGCTGATTTTGGTATACTCACCTTTCATCCAAAAGCCATAAAAGTAATATTAAATAAAGTGATGTTAGGTGGAAATATAATGCAAGACTGTTTGATTATATTGATAGATAAACAATATTTTCAAAACCTTGAAGCTAATGTTTAGAGGGATTAACAGTAACAAAAAATTGCAGATTTTATAAGATCCTTGGTCTTTTTTGTAAGGCAAAGAGAGGCAAAGCAATCAAAATATGGTTTCTTTGTTTAAATTAATGATGCTAGAAATTTGACCCAAAGGGTTGACTGTTATATGAACACTGCAAATGCATACTGTAAAAACTACAAGGATTGCCCCACGGCGATGGCACATGCTTACGTCTTAGGCAAACTAATGAGATCAATCATCAATAATAAGATGCTCAAACAATGTGACAGGGCGGTGCTTCCAAAACACACACACACACACACACGCAGAAGTAATGAACACACACACAAGGATGAACATCCTCTGGCCTTGAGTCATGGGACAGTTAGACCTAACATCCTGGTCTGGGTGACAGAGGTTTGGTCATGTGACTTTATTTATTTTGAGTGCAGCCCACACAGAGACAGACGCCAGAGACGAGCTGCAGAGTTATGTTGTCTCTTTGTCTGTTTGTTAGCCTGTCAGTCGTACTCGGGACAGAAGCTCCTCCTCTCTGTCACCTAACTGTTCGACAGGATTTTATTTCTCTGCCGTCCAATCCCGTCATCCCACCCCCCTGAGAGTTTCCTCATTCCTCAGTTCTTTGTTGCTGTTGTCTGGTGTGCAAAAATACTTTGACACGCAGCATTACAATAGGGGTAACAGGCAGGTTGGACAAGTCAAGAATGTATATGCAAGAGTGGGAATTGCACACACGTCTCTGTGCAACAAGACCAAACACACAGAAGGCATTGACACGACCCCTTCTTCTTTTTAAGCCCCAATTTTCTTTAACGATCATTTTAGAGCAACAAAGTGGCTGATAATCCCTGACAAAGGGGTGCCAGCATGTGACACCTTCATTTTTGAATGGCTGAAACCACAAAGGACCGCCTTAAAAAGGAGAGCAGTCTGTTTTCATTCGTAAAGGTGAGAAGTTCAAGATTCAAACTTGACATTTAAGACAGGATAGTGTATGTAACCTGGAAAACCACAAATCCTGCACCCTTGTAAAAGCATGTCTTTGTCTCTATGTGTGTGTGTCTTTTTCTTGTCTTACTTTGGCCTCCTCGTTGGTGTCCCAGGTGAAGGAAATGGCATTGTAGGAAATCTCCTCAATGTTGCCGATTGTGTTGAAGCTCTCCTTGTAGTCAGCTGTAACAACAAACAAGAGTCAGGAGCCTATTTTAGCTGCAGAATGAGACCCGCAGCTAAACTAAACAAACAAGCAGTCAGAATCAAATCAACACTCCAGTGGAGAAACTTTTATTTATTGTATGACTCGCTGCGGTTTTGAAAGGCTGTTGAATTAATCCCTAAACAAACCCTTTCTAACAGTCACAACTAACCAACACACCTTCTCCTGTCAGGTCCTGCAAAAGCTGCAGACACAGGAGTATCAATCAACAGACTCAGCTGAACATTTAAAACTTCTTACCAATATCCAGACACCGCTGTTTCGCAGTGTGCTGTCTGGAGTGCCAGTACTTCCAGTGTTTCAGCTGATCGTCTCTGCACTTCTCCTCCCCAAAAACCACCATCACTACACTCTGGACATAAAAAAAAAGATATTAACATGTTTCAATGATATGAAGCATGAGATTATTTTCAGTCATTTTAACTCCATCTCTTTATTTTTGTTTCCTTCTCACCCTGACTTTGGTGATGGGCTGCTGAAGACCTTTGTTGTCGGCCTCTCTGAGTGTGATCGGGTAAAACTGGCCCTTGTTGAGGTATGTCATCGTGCCATCGCCAGTCTTCTGACGCAGAGACTTGGACGCCTCAAGTGTGTACTCGAAATTATTCCTAAAAAAACAGTGAAAAAACAGGAAAATTAACAACAAGACCACTCTGTCTTGAAATAAACTTCGCAGTTACCCTTGCCACTTTAAAGTGTTGTCTTGGACCAGCCTCGTAATAACGCTTTAGGCCTAGACTGAAAGGAACTTGATCCACTGGGTTTCTATCATATTCATTGTTTTTTTTATTTATTTTGGCAGTCATGTCCCTTTAAAACAATCATCAAAATCTGTTGTGCTGAGTTTATCATTATTGTAGTGGCGATGCAAATGTGAGCATTGCTGCGGTGAGGCTTTACTACTTTCCTTTAATTTAATGCTAACCCTGTGTTTGGTTATTTGTATGTCTTTTATTCTCTCTCTCTTTAATGTCTTTCTTTCTAATGCTAGATCACTTTGAATAAAAGTGAAAAAGCATCCTCCAAACCTGATCTGCATTTTCAGTGTCATTGGTAAACTTAAGCTGTGACGTATGAATAAAAGCTGAATGATTGATTGGTGTTGTAAAACTAAATAGTATACCACAATTGTTTTCTACTTTTTACAGTGTAATCTGGCACCTCAATTAAACAGCTGTGGCTAAATCTTAGCCTTAAATCGCTGTGTTGTCAGATAACACTCGTGTGTGCTGGCTCTTGTCTTTCACACATCAGCAAGTCTGGTGTCTCCCCTGCGACTACAATGAATGAGGCCATTCTGTGGTTTTGTGTCAAAAGCTGAATGGCGGTGGAAGCCAGGCGGTGGGCCGGCAGCGGTGCGACTTACCCCGGCACGGTGTCAAAATGAGGATACTCCTCGGGCGTCATGGAGGCCATACGTAACTGGAGATCCCCTGGGAAGGAAAACACCTGCAGGACAGAGAAAACATATATGATAAGACAACACAAAAGATTATTTCTACAATTTATCCAAGCAGTAGTGTGCTTTTCTCAGGGATTTTCACTCTTTTGTCTCTTCTCATCATTTAAAATGTTTTTCATCCATGTTTTTCTTAACCAGTATTCCTTTTATTCTGTTTGCTCTTCCCTCATGTTACCTCCCCCCTCTTCACTCTCCCCTCTTCTGTACCGGGGTTTTGTTAGGTTACTCTTTTCTGAAGTAAATCCCCTCCAGGTTAAATGGAGAAAGAGCACAGAGAAAAGGCTTTGGCTATTGTAGGAGAAAAGTACAGCACTTTATTGTGTTGCTGAGACAATAGCATAATAACACACTGGTCGCTATTTTGGCATGTTCAAATAAAACCAGGGGAAGGCTGAGCCCACCGCTGGCTCCATGGGATCGGGTGAATATCCTATTGTCTGATAGGAGAGATCTGAGAGAGGAGACGAGGAAAAATAAGCAGGAAGGGGGGTTGGTAGGCGGGAGAGTATTAGCTGGGTTTTTAAAAAAAGGGGGGATCGAAACACACACCTCCTGGGAACTGTCCTTGTAGCTCTCAGAGAAAGTGGAGTCAGGGGGCGTGCTGGACTGGGTGCTGGGGCTGAACTGGACGGCGTTGTGAGCGATCTGGCGGTCAAAGACGCTCACGTGGCCGTCGGTTTCAGTGCAGTTGTTGGGAATGGTGACTGAGAAGCCATGGCTGGGCACCTCCGTCTTTACAGGTGGATAGTTTGGAACAGCGGCGATGGAAACTGTGACGGTCGTATCTGAGAGAATAAACAAAGCGACCATCAGGTTTTATATCTCTCAGCTGCTCAAGTCTGTTTGTGTTACTGCATGAGGACAGACCTGGTGAGGGGAACTGGGACCTCTTGTCCTGGGCCAATTGAAGAATATTGAAGGGTCCCTTCAGGACCTGGATCCTGCTTTCCATACCGGCCTCCTGAAGAGGGGCTATTGGGTGTCCAGCCTGGATCTGGTGTCTAAAACAAAGGGAAAAAGCACATGCAATGTTTAATTTCCTCCAGCTATATTGTTTTATCTATGAAAAAGCTTCATGATAACCAGAGTTCCTGGTCTGTGATTACCAAAAACTCTGATACGAGCACAAACATGTCATTTTCAAGACACCAAACTTCTCTAATGCTTCATTTTCCTTACTCCTTATAGGAGATAACAATCTATTTATTAGTTTTGTGTTTTTATGTATGATTTTGTTTAAATTGTCTTGACTTTAATCTCAAGTGTCTCTCCAAATTTGTCAGTTAGAAATAGTGTCACATGTAAGACTTGAGGTTTAACTAAAACTCAAGTCTCAAGCTAAAAATAAGGTCTATTACAAAAAATAGGGAACATAACAGAGTTTGTATCCTTCAATTCCTTTCACGCTCTGATTCTCCTCCACTGTCCTTTTTATTTTATCAAGGGGGGTTGTATTAGGAGAGTCGCTGTCTCTTACCTTTTGTTGGGATCATCACAGACCAGGGCTTCTGGCTTGCCCTGGGCTATTGTTCTTTTGGGCACCTGTATATGAGGGTAAACACAGCCGCTCAGCATCTGACCACATCACATCCAACAACACGGGTCATCCTGCTGTCTATACGAGCAATGGGATCAGTTACATGACATACGCTCTGCCTCACAGATGTTACTAAATGGACTGATGTCAGCGCATGGAAAGATCATAGGGGTAAAGCCTGCAAAGATTTGGTACCTTATCCCCTGACACAACTCTGAGTCAGTTCTGATCTTTGCATGGTGATACAAGTCCTTTTTTAGTCACATACCTTGTAGTAGTCATAGAGCAGGCCAAGAGCTGCAGCGCTGTCCTCATCTCCGTTGATGCTCATCATGGCCTTGGTGGCAGCTGTCAGGGGGTTCTCCAAGAATGATTTCCAGGCTTCATCTTCCGTAGTGAAGGGGCGACGCTGGCCGCCATAACCCGGCTCATTCTGCAGAACCAGGACTGCACGCTTACTGTGAAAAGACAGGATTGTTTATTTACATTGGTTGTAAAGATGTTGATTCCTTTCTTAATGGGTAAATCTGCTTTCTGTCATCATTTAGTAATTGTACCCTCTGCAAAGAAGAAGCAAAAAGTAAAGGTTTTACTCAAAATACACTGAATGAGCTCTACTTGGAAATATTAAACGGGCAGATTTATGATTTATTATCGCCCAGATTGATTCTCCTCACTGACTTCATACTGAAATCACAGCTTTGTTCAAAACAGACAGACAGGTTATAAGAGCCAAAGATAAACACATAGATGTTCTTCATCTGCGAGACCTGTTGTTCAGGATTTTCAATGATTGTGCAACAAATCTCGACCATCGAACCACCAAGGCGTCTCAACAGAAAGATGCTCTACAGGCTCATCCTGACAGACGACTCCAGGACAGTGCTCTCATTGGCTAAGAAGGTGACCACAAGTGACGTGTGCCACCCGGCTGCATTCCTGCATGTATACAGGTACTGTTTTCTTATGACAGCATGATCGGGGAAAAAAAAGTTTTTTGTGCGTGGCCGTTGGCTTTCCTACCCTCCTTCCTCCTTCACTGCCTTTTGAGGCAGAAGTGACTTGGACAAATGGCGATAGACTTAAATGCCGTAAAAGTTTTTTATTAAAGCTCTGTATTCAAAATGGAAATGTAGCTACTCAGTTTCAAAATGTTGAAGACATTGAGGAACATTTCAACAGTGGACTTGGCTTATTTACAGTAAATTTTAATATTTGCTCAGGCTCTATTTACTCAGATGTGTTGAGCCTTAAGACTGGGAAGAGTTTCACTAAAGCTCTTTGTCAACACGGTTTCCTCTAAATTGTCAGCTTTCCCTTTGAAATTTTTGGAAAGCTGAACATAGTTTTAATCATCCCCCCAACATCCATCCGCAGTTTTTTTTTTTTTTCCTGAAGACAACAAGGTTATTAAGATAAAGTGTTAACGGTCTGGTTCAGTTTCTATGTCCAGTATCTACAACAAATGCAGCTTTTCTTCTCTGAATAGTCAAAGCTAAGTGATCATTAGTAATTCTATATCTAATTGTGCTATTCATAAGGAGCAACCTGATAAGATCCATTATAGAGTGGGAATAAAAATCACAGGACAGGAAACACAGAAGTTAGTACGAGATTGTTCTGTCAGACAGGGGAGGAAAGATTTTAATAGCTCTGAAATAAAATCAGTGATACACAGACATGCCATTTTTTAATGTGCAAGAAAATAGAAAAAGCTGCTTTTTCATTTCTGATATTTTAGAAAAGCCTTCATCTGGTCTTCTATATTTCATGTTTAATATATTAGTGATAAAGAGGCAAAAATATAACCTCGTATAGCTCTGTGCTTGCTTACATTGTCTGTGTAAGTAGTCGGGCCAACGCCTAGCAGGTGTACAATTTCACTCTCTTAAAATGTCTCCTTGTCGTTGCCCTCAAAAAACATAGAAAAAATAGGCTAAGTATTAAAAATGAAAAATAAAGACTTTTAAAAAAATGTTCTGAGGTATTTGCTGCTAATGTGAACTCCTAAAGAAGCACCTAAACACTACCAGAGAGGGGTTTTTTTTAGCTGTCAGCTCACAGCAGAGCTCCATGTTTATTCCTGAACAAACATCATTAAGACTGTCCACAGAACTGTTGGAGCTTAGAGCAAAATCAAACACTAAACCGCCCCGTCGGTATCACGGGACGGTTTTTATTCTAACAGGCGCCTGCAGCTCGCACGACAGGTGGAGATACACCTGTACGGGCTTGAACATGACAGGTGAAATGAGCGGAGTTACAGCCATGGGAAACTATGACAGAGATGTAATCTCCTCTCCCGCTTGGCAGCTTAACTCACCTTTTAGAAAAATAACAGCAAATGACTGCTGAAGTGAAACAAATATCACAAACAGCTTTAAAAAAATCATGCAACAGCTACAGGTCAGATGTGGAGCAACAGTTTAACCTCTGCTGGTTAAGTCCGTGTGAGGTGTTAGCTCAGGGAAAAATGCACAAAACAAAGTAAAAAATCTCCAGAAATATTTAGAGTTAGTATTTCAGATATTAAGAGTCAACCTGCCCGGTGTGCAGGCTAGAAGTGGAGAGTCAGGACAACTTACTTGTCATGCTCCTGTGACATTTCGGTCGGTCGAACTGGACTTTCTAGTTGGTACTGAAAATCCGATCCGTCTTCTTTACCGTGGTAAACTCCGCCGCTAACGCTGGATGAGGGCCGCGGCAACAAACAAGGTGCACCCGACTGAGAGAACGGGTTTTGTCGGCTTTTCTCGCTTTTTTGGGGCAATGCTAAGAAATCGAGGCCGGTTTTACCTGTGACAGGGCCACGGATTGGATTACAGGTGGATGGGAGGGCGGGGTTTCGCTGTCAATTACACCGTCTAGAGCTGTGATTGGCTTACCTTGTGGCCTACCTGAAGCTGCAGAGGGACTCGAGGTTAGTCAGTGGAAGAACTGGGTTTGACATCTGAGATTTTGTCATGTAAAGATATTAATCGGACACAACAGACAATGTGAGAATTATATCGTTAAAGGACAGAAAATGTGATTTAAAATAAAATTAAGTGGTGAAATACTTTGAAGGATGCATTCATTTACACAACTAAGACTAGAGGTGATCATTTAAGGAGCAAGTGAAACCTGCATTTCCCTACAATTGCTATTTAGCCCAGTGGTTAGAAGTGCAGGTGTGATGTTTGGTACATGCCCTCAAGGAGAAAACATAACAGGGCTCGAACATGAGGTCTCTATTTTCTGTGGCACCAAAAGTGTGTTTGAACTAAATTGATATAGTAAATTGTAATTTAAATGAAAAAGTCATCATGGAGAAAGGATTTATGTTATTGAATAGTTCTTACAGTTTGAATGGACATTTTTAAGAGTTTTTTTCAGTTAAAAGGGGATTTCCAAGGGTCGATCTGAGAGTTAAGCAGTCAAAACAAGAGAGATTTATCAAAACCATGTAAATTTACAACACTAAATGGTCTCATGTTCTGGTATTTTGTATAGTACATTGCTTTAGTGGATTTTCAGTAAGACTCTATCACTCACTCTGAGATATCCAATTATGATAGAATGAATCCGATCCCCTGACTTTTCTGAGATTCTCCAAAACTGCTTATTTTTCTATGGACGCCATTTCTTAATTATGTTAATGTGTCTTCTATTTTCAGGGTCAAGCTATGGTGACTGCTGTTCAGATGTGGTAAATGACTCAAAATCACACGCTGCTATTTCTCTTTCTCCAACAAAAATCAAGAATTTGTGGGTCCAGCCCTTTGATGCAATACATCAGGACTTGTGATGTTCATGTGGATATCACAAGTCCTGCATGTATTGCTGTTCAAGCTTTTGTGAGGAGTTTTTAGCTGGTTGTGTGATAAACCAAAATTGATAGAGATACATCTGTCTGTCAAACTATTAACTACAACAGTGAGTATTGCTTGTAAGGTTAATTGTATGTCTGGTACATTTGACAAGGGGGTAGGTGTCAGAGCAAAATGATCAAAAATGAGCAAAGAAATGCTAATTTCACATGCTGACCGCTTTAACCATAAGGTGCATTGAAATAAACAAAAACTGAAAGCCCCCAACAGAAACTTTTTGTCATATTCATTAAGATTTTCCTTGAATAGTTAAAAAAGTCTACCGTCAGTTTAAATCTGACATGTGTTAGACTGAAAATAAGAGAGGTTTTAAACTATCAGTCATTGAAATAGTGAAACAAATAACAAAATCAAGTCATACGATTCAGATGTTTTTTTTCTTCCTCCACTTCCTGGAAAGTTTATCTTCCTTCTTCCCTGATAGCATGTTTTCCAAAACTGGGTATCTCGTGTGCATTTCTGCATTGTGGTGTTCCTCATGGATCCGTTCTTGATCCTCTCCAGTTTTATTTGCACATAATTCAGATTTTTTCAGATTAATTTTACGAAGCAAGGCAAATCCAGCTTTGCACAACCTTAGAGGTCTGACAAAAAAAAGTTACAGGGACAGAGGATATGTTCCTGAATTTCACTTCATGAAGGCACCATTAGGCTGAATCTCTGAATCAGTCGAACGCACATACATTTTTCACCCTAATGGTTATGAGCATTTTCTGTTATAACCTTTTAGATGAAGAGATATTTTAAAAAAGATGTGACACTTTACTCCAGATAATGACACACAGAGCGTTGTTTACATTCTCTAAGAGGACAGATTATCATCAGCCTGCACAGCTACAGGTGAATTGCAGGCAAATCAGTCCTGAAACTTTGAGAAAACATCAGACATTTGCAAATGAAATGATGGGCGGGGTTTGAGTGGGGGGTATTAACAGTCAGTAATCAACTGCATCCTACAGAAAGCAGTATGAAACTGAAACAAACTACTGTGGACTGGTTTTCGTAAAATGCAGAGCTTTTCTCTGGATGTCTGGTGTAGAGCAAAGAAAGTGGCATCAAACTCTCACACATATTTAAGCTGCTTTAGCATTTGGTTTATGCCTCGCCTCCACTTTGATAATCCCTCGAGACCCGCTGTGGGTGATTGTGTGAAAGAGATGAAAATAAATGTGCGATAAAAACCTCAAAACACAGGAGCATAACATGAAAAGAAACACTGTGGGTGAAAACAAACGGCTTAGTTGGAGACAAAGGGGGCTTAAAAGATGCTATCAGCCATTTACAAAGTTTCTCCTCAAACATACTGAGACAGAAACTAACTGTAACCCCCCTCCCCCCTCACTCACTCTCTCTCACACACAACCTCCTGCTCCTGGATCCTGGTTTATTGTTTATTTATCCCAGTGGAAGGACACCTGCTTCTCCTGGAGCTTGTTTGTATTTGCACTGAGGACATGGGATAATACAGTCAGGGAGGGATACAAGGTTTGTGTGTGTGTGGTTTCAAGTAACTGTATGAGTGTGTGAGGGGGAGTCTGGGAATATCTGCCCTGGCTGCTGATGGTGGGTTTAAGTAGGTGCTGACCTGACAAAAAGAAGAAAGGGTAATCCATGGAGGAACAACAGGCAGGACAGCAAGACTGCAAATTAAAGCAAAGGGTTAAACCTAGAAAAACAACTACTAAGTAATTTGTAAAGGTGGAAGATATGCAGAAGATATGAATAAAACAAGTACATTACTCTATATGTTGTTTCTGCTCTGAAAAATGTCCTTCTTGACAGTTTGAAAGATATATCATGTGTTTTAATGACTATGCACAGTTTATTTGGCATGTTAGTAACTTCTTGAGGTGGAACTACTTGTAACTTTGACCTCTAGAAAAGGCCACAGTGTTTACCTGACTGCTGGAAAAAAACAGCATCCAAGTAAGCAAAGTAAATTTAACTGTTTAAAACTGTGCGGCCCATTTCCTTTTCACTCAAGAACACTGGACAAAAATGACCCAAACCTGAATGAACCAGAAACCAAGGCATAGAATTAATCAAAGGGCAAGTATGCACCTCGTTCTGCTGATGATGTTATATAACTAAACCTCTGTTGTGTTTGTTAAACTGACCGATCAATTAAGCACTTGTTCGGCTCTAATATTCATGACACAAAGTCACAACTTTTTGGTTCCTCTCGAACTTTTGTATGTGTGTTTAGAAAAAGGGGTGTGTGAGCCAAGTGGTAACCCCTAGTCTTGAGAAATTCAGCTGAAATGTGGAAGACTGCAGTTTTCAGAGTGCCTGTTCACGCTACAAGATCAGCAAATCAGACACATGGCTGATTTGACTAAAAGGTGGGCACACTCTCGCCATTTGTGTGGAGACTGAAGGCCCACCCGTGGCAGGTCAACTAAATACTACGCTAGGTCAGCATTACCAATATGGTGGCAGCCTCAAACAGGAGACATCATGGAACTATGTCCAACCGTTAAGCAGTGATTGGTAAAAACACACATGAGTATGTCCCATACAAGCATATATCAACTTTTCTGACAAAAAAAAACACATCCCATGTTATATAAACAATTAGAAATATCTGTTATCAGGTAATTGTTTTTCATGAAATGGCTGATGGCTGAAATGGCATCAATATATACTTCTGCAAGCGAGTTGTCATTTCAATTAATTTCAGTGCATAGAAACAATCTATCTTGTTGCTGAAGATCTAGTTTGCTTTTGTTAGCTTTATAGTAGCATCAATGTAAGTTTTGGTCTGTTTTGTAGGCCCATAAAACACCTCACAGGAGCTTAAAAAATCATCTCAATTTCATCCAAAGCAGAATAAGAACTCATTAGCGAGTTTGTTTGGTCTGTTGCTTCAATCGAAGTGGTTCTCTCTCTCTCTCTTTCTAACAGAAACTCCCACCCGCTTCCTGTTGTTCCTGGTGTTCAACAGCCTGAGGCAGAGGGATGATCTCATGACTGTTTAGAGTGACACAATCATACAGTGAGAAATGAAAAGCAAAGCAATAGACCACAGATAATTGAACATGTGGGTATACCATCTAAACTCGCTAATGTGTAGTCTGGATGGGGTCGATCCCAACAGTCTCCAACGACTCAAACCCTGCAGGATGTTTGTGTTACCTTCGTTCATTTACTCAGTGGGATCCCTTCTCCTTTCATCTCTTACATCCCTCTTTTTTCCTCCTCCCTCGTGGAAGACAGTTAGTTTTTAACGCCACTCTAGGCAGCAAACCAGGATGGAAATAAGATGCAAATCTTCTCCCACTTTGTCTAGCATGCTAGCACTCGTCTGAGCAGAGCTGTAACCGCACTGAGGTTTATCTGAGTACCACCGGACCTCTGTCAGTTTGGGCTCATGGTGAAGATTGCTGTTGTTGGGTAAACAGGAGAAGAGTCTGTATGAACAATGACAGAGTGTTGGGAGGTGTTTGGAGATCATTATCATGTTGTCGCTCGCTGTCTGCCTGAATGTTAACAGACACTGTTAAGGTCTGAATCGATGTGAGCTGTGTTAGACTACCTCTAATATTCACTCAGCTATACCTGGATGACAGATGGGTCTGATCCACAAACATTATTTTATTGACATTGTGGGATCGTCATCACTTCTGTGTAACTGATCATTGTGGCTGACTGTTTGTTGTTGCAGCTTCATCAGTCAGGACTTAATCACTTTGTCATTCTTGGATCATTTCTTGATTTAAGAGTTTCAATCTGAGGATTTTTCCGCATTAAGGATTGAGTAACAGGGCCTGGATTATTGTGGTGTTTTCTGGTGTTTTGCTGAGGCCAGGGTTAGATGCTATCACACTGATGACAGTAAAAACAGTCACAGACTGAGGGCACGGCAGACCCGCATGCTGCTGTGCAACTCCTTAAACACTTGTGATCATGCACACACACACACACACACACACACACACACACACACACACACACACACACACACACACACACACACACACACACACACACACACACGCACACACGCACATACAGCGAGAGAAAGAGAGTGCAGGAAACAGGTCAGGACTTTTTTCCAGGTGTTATTGGATTCTGGGATTCTTGGATTGTTTTGCTTCACAACACGGCTGATGTTTTAGCCCTGAGCTGTGGATACAACTGACCATCCAGTCTGACTAAAGAGACCGTTATTGTAAACAGACAGAAGCAGATGATGTTGAAGAACTCAAATGTTCTATAAATTGATCTGTTAGTTGATAGACTATTAATTAATCTGCATAAACAGTAAAGGATTAATGATATTTTCTTTTATTATCTCAACCAACACCTTTTTTCCTTTTATTCAATGACCATGATTTTCTCAAAAACCCTCATATGGACGTTTTGCTCGGAGCACGTGCAGTCGTACATTAGATGTCTAAAACATCTAGTAAAACTCAGACTAGCGTCAGAGTTTAAAGCTTCTTTAAGGAACTTTTATCTCCCTTTGATTTTGGCACCCCCTGTGGACAAAGCTTTTCTTACCTCTTTGCTCATTTTATTAAGTAAAATGTATGTTTCATATCAAGACATAATTAGGAAATAACATCAATGACTCAATAAAATAACATATAGAAAAACACCTATACAACTGAGCAAATTCCAATAAAATTTGATCATATTTTTCAACCCTTTACAGAGACAGGAGGTCCTCATTTTTTGTCTTTTCAAATTCAGGCAATTGGTACATCTAAAATATATGTACACAGATATATGCTTTTGACTTCCAAGTATCATCCATCCATCTATACATCCATCCACTTTCTACCGCTTATTCCCCTTTGGGGTCATGGGGGGGCTGGAGCCTATCCCAGCACGTTCAGGGTGCAGGGGACACCCCGGACAAGTCGCCAGTTCATCGCAGGGCTGACATATAGAGACGAACAACCATCCACGCTCACATTCACACCTACGGGCAAATTGACAGTGGCCAATTAACCTAACCCCACTTCTGCATGATTTTGGGATGTGGGAGGAAACTGCAGTAGCCGGAGTAAACCCACGCAGACACAGGGAGAACATGCAAACTCCACACAGAAACGCCCTGACCCGGATTCTAACCCAGGACCTTCTTGCTGCGAGGCGACAGTGCATACCACTACACCACTGTGCTCCCCCTGGATTTATACAAACATAGAAAAAAAGGAGAACTGCTTTTCTGTTGACATAAAAGATTACTCTGTGCCGTTGATATAAAAAAAAATCATGTAATCCACAGTAAAAAAGGTCCCAACTGAAGCTCCTGACGCTGGTAAAAAAAAATCCGGTTAAAACATGATCTAATAAAACTCCTGTCAGGAACTCTGAATCCATTTTGACACCCCAGCAAACAAAGTGATACCTCTTATCTCTCAGCTGTACATGTCAAGGTAGGTACAAAAAAATCTCCTGCTTTTTCAAACATATTGATGAAAAAGAAGTTCAGTTTGTTTGATAAAAGGCTGAAAACTTGAAACTTTACTGAAAGTGAACAAATACCCTCAGAAATAGATGTTTTGTGTAACATTTTTTTTTTTGTTTTTATGTACGTTCTCATCGCTCAAAGGTGACAAGCTGAGAAGCCCAGACAGTCACCTGAGCCCTGTACTGTAGATCAGCTCCACAGGCCTAGACATTTTCTTAAAATGCCAGTGAGGGATGTTTGCAGGTTGCACATACCCGAAATGCACAAACTTTGCCCCTTTCTCCCCCATTTATCTTCTCTTTCCAGCACTTCACAGGTTGAGCCAAGTCTCCATTCTGTTATCCTCCCCCCATTAAAAGTGACACATAACCTACTAGTTTGTTTTTACCGACAGGCACAAGTGTGAGGCTTTTATAAGTAGCTGGTGCTGGGTGTGTGTTCGTAAGAATGAAGGCAAACTGAACACACGACATTCTTAGGAGATCATGGACGATTCAAGAAGCTATTTTAAGACTCACATCTATGGGAAATCGTCAACAGCTTACAAAGTTCATATAGAGGCACGCATTTCATCTTACAAAGAGACGTCAGTTACTGGATCTTTGAATCAACAGGCCAAACAGTGATTAAACACTCTGTTCAGATCATGTTTTCTAGTTGAGAAAGAAATACCATCAGACTCCTTATTGAGGCTCAAAAAAGCGAGGGTTTGTTTTTATATTTATATTGATCATTTAGTACTTGAAGTTAACCTGTTGATGTTAAAGTCTCCACTTTTTAGAGTGATCGAAAAGCCCATTTTTTCCAGACCTCTCTCGTGACTAAGTGGCTCCTTCACCAACACAAAGATGACAAAGCAAACATTATTTGTCCATCGCATGAAGCTGAATGGGGTATTTTTAGAGATTCATGGATGGGACTGGTGAGGTGACTTGCAACTGAAGGCGGTTATTGTTGAAGAAAGCGTGGGAGACTGACAAACAAGCTCTGCAGCTTGTCACCTGGTCAAGCCACCCAGTCCAGTTTGGTTTCTGCCGTGATTGATTTTTACTGGCCCTCATCGAACACAATCACAGCCTCCTCACTGTACAACAAGGGGAAGAAAAGTGTAACAGAACACATATACCATTATATGATTGCACTTATTCACCTGCACGCTATCACTAAAATTCAGTACAAAGAAATGAGTAATCATGTTCGTGATAATCTCATGTTAAAATCGAGGTTGAGTATCAGTATGAGAGTAAGATTTTAACTCTTGCAGAATTTTAAAGGTTAATTATAAGGAGACAAAAGTTTAAAAGAAATTTAAATTGTGAATTTTTCTGCAGTAGTATAGTGAAGAATGAATGACATAGAAACAATAAAGTGCTGTGTTAGTTAGGAAGAAAGGAAACAGGAGCATAGAGTGTGAGTATTCTGGAAAGCTTGTCATGAAATACCACATTTTATATTAGAGTGCTGTTCACCTCAGAGAGAAGTCTGTTTTTTTTTAAGCCACTGACAGCAAAAGTGAAGAGAGAAGGGCGTAAAAAGGTTGGTTTCGTGAAGCAGTCAGGACTTCTTCCCACACGCAGACACACACTGGCTGTCACCCTCAGCAGAGAGGAATCCTTCTGAACTGATTAGCTGTCAAACCTGAAAAGTGTCTTCACAGAAGGAAGCAGGAAACAGACCCAAACATTTCTGAAAAATTAGAAAATATCGTAAGACTCATCATCATTTTGGTGACTTTTGTGGATGTTTTCCACAAAAATACTCATATAATATTTAATTCTATTTCACAGCTTTTGAGGACCTAATGCATGAACCTATTAAGGGATGTTTAGTATTCACTGAGGGGCTTAGTACACATATTATTTTTCCTGCATGTTGCTGAGATGCTGCAACAGCAGCGGATGTGTCATCAGATTTTGTTTTTGTTACACCAATGAATAAAAACGTTGCAATGGGTGCGACTGTAAAGCCAGGAACTATACAGTGATTTGAACAATTTATTTAATCCAAGCACCTTTTTTTCTACCTTTATCAAGTAATTCTTTCAGCATTCTAAGCAAAACTTGGTTTTGCAGCATTTTAATGATTTACTCAGCACCATTTTGTGGCATTAAACGTTTAGAGAATGAGCATTTTCATCGACAACAAATTAAATTTGTCTTTACACTATACTCTACACTCTCAAGTCTTTTATTTTGTAATCATTAGACATTAGGGCCAATGGTGGTGGACGGCTCCTCTCTCCTCGCTGCAGGACAGAAAGATTCAGAAGATCTTTCGTACCAACAGCCATCAGACTTTATTACTCTTTTGTAAATAGTAGGTAACTTTTAGAGAAATTTCAAGTGAGACAACAGACAATTGAATTTCCCTCCAGAGATTAATACAGTTCTTATTCTTATTCTTCTTATTAAATTCTCAAAGAATTCCTTCTCTGTTCTTTCACACCAGAAGTCGGGGAAAATATATGACTACAAAAGTGAGTGTAAAAACATGTCAAATATAAAATCTAGTCGCTAATGACTTTATCTTTATCCATCAGAAGATGAGAACAAAGCTGTGAAGACAAAGATATTCATGATATAGTTTCACTCTGGGATAATAAGTTTGATTTTTTACTGTTTCACACACTCACTCACATACGCTTACACACACACAGACTCTGGATTGATTTCTCAGAGGGCATGCAGGAACCTGCAGCAGTTTCTGTTGTCTTCAGTCCAACTGTTGCTGCTCACTGTGATCTCTGCACTGAAACCCATTTGTCCTCTGCACCTGATTCACCTGTAACACAGAGACAAGACTGAGCTGTCACACAGACCCAGTCTAATCCAGGACATTTAAAACTGACCTAAAAGGTTTTGGGAACTTCTTACGAAAATCAAATCTAGAGGATTGAGACAAGTGACGAGACAAAAATAAAGTCAGTGTCAGGCTTCGAATGAGCGCAGGTTTCAGTTGAATCTGGGCCAAACCTCTGAGCCTGAAGGCTGTGACAAACAGCAGAGATGTGATGATACAACCTTAAAATATTACTTTCTTCACAATATACATGCTTTTTAGAGACATAGAAGTTCCTCATTTGTTCATTTGGATAACAAGAGAATAAAAACTAAACCTGATCCACAGAGGCCGTGTCCTGTGTGAATAAATGGAAATTTTGTGGTGTTAAGAGATCATGAGGGAGCAAATAGTTCACAGTTAGACTTAATGTTGGGCCTTCATAATACTTTTAAATTCAACCATTACGAGACTAGATGAATAAAAGAAAAGTCAAGTGTTCAGTTGTGCCTTGGAAAAGTGCTGTTTGTTGATGCAAGAAAAAAATGCGTAACATAAAGAGCTTCTCAGTGAGACTTTTTTTCTACTTTAAATGTCAAGAAGGGAGCAGAAAATGTTTGCAGTATACAGGCTAAGTACAGAAAATAATGCTAAAGGTGGTCTTTTCCAGCTGCTCCATAATTTAACCTTTATTTATAGCACACTAATTCACAATAAATGTCACTCTGTAACCTTCAGTCTGTGTGAGCTGTTGGAAGCTTTTCTTTGCCAGTAATAATGGAGGAAATGTGTGTGTCCTATTTACAGGAACGGCGTGCAATATGCAACAGACTGCTCCAAGTTTAATTTATGACAATTAAGTCATGGTGGCATTCATAATAATGAAGTTAATAATAGTGGTAGGAATGATCATGTTATAAAAATTAACACTAGCATTGTAACAGTGACAATAATGCTGGAAACAGCTGGAGTCAGACATGTCCACAGCAGCAGGTTGTCTGCGTGAAAACATCTTGCAGAAAATTCTGTTTAAAGTACTAAAGTCAATAAAACCTGCTGAATTGTTGTGCTTTTATGTCAAAGTACTGATTCATGACTAAATTGTATTTTCAGCAAAAATAAGAAAGATTTTAATGTACCGGATTTACTCTTATAAGATCAGAAATCTTTATAATCTATAAACTGTAGTTGGTAAACAGTTTGAATGGACGCTCTCTAACTCTTACTCATCATCACATGTCAAGCTTGAACCTGTGTCAGATTGCAGGATCAACCTAAGTGTGAAACCGCCATCAAAGAGACTTCTACATCCCTCTCTTTTGTTCACTGATCCACAGACTTGTCAAACCAGCAGCACCTCCATCCTCAGTCCATCCCAGGGTGGAGCAGAGGAATCACTGCAGCTACCAAGATGGGTTTGGCCAACCGTCACATTTTTCTATAGGTTGATCCATGTCAGTCAGGGTTTTGCTGTGAGTGTGTGGAGATCTATTTCCTTACATACAACATACATTTAGGGTTATATTTGCAAAGAAATCATTTTTGTGCAACAGACTCAGAGAAAACCAGTATAAAAAATTACACACGCTTCAGTGGGCCCCTGACCTTCTGAACAAGACGAATCCCCCAGGTTTCCTCCTTATGTATCAAGTGTAAAAAAAGAAGTGGGAACTTGTTATCATTGATTATGGTTATGTCCCTTGATATCTAGATACTGGAAAATATCCCAGTGGTTGCTGGGTACTGCTGTCTGTCTTTCATTTCAGGGAATGACTCCATCTGGTGGTGGGCAAGTTTCGATTATCTTCCCCTGCAGTTTGGAGGCAGAGCTTTTCTCTTATTGCTGACTCGCTACACCTGTCTGGAGAGGCACAAGGGATTCTCCTCTGTATGTCTCTGGCAACCTTTAACACTTAATATGTATGGGCTGTGCTTTTGTTGGAATTAAAAGTTATGTTTGCTTCACAACCTACTGTGTGGACCTCCCTTCCTTGTTGTGGCCTATACCACCTAGCCATAACAAATGGGGGCTCGTCCAAAAAGTGGAAATGAGGAGGGTTGTCTCATGGTAGCGTGAGGTTTTGTTTGATTATTAGCGGCTTTTTTTAGACTTTGTTTAAATTTTGTAAGTTGAAGGGATATTCTGGCGTAAAATTAATTTAGGGTCAAACACACCGTAACACCAAGTTAGACACTCCCTCGAGAGATGAATGTTGCCGACCCTTTTCTTCTCTAGTTATACCAACCTTAGTAAAGGCCCCACGATAGCAATACACAGCTGTCTGAGGAGCCATAAACAAACCTCAACCAAATGCCACCCTATAGCCACAAATATATAAATAGCCACCAAAGATATTTTTAGTTTTGCCTGATTTCTTTAGCAAAGAGACTAAACAACAACAGCTGCTTGTTTGTAGCGAGACCTCTTGCCAGTCCATTAAGGACTGCTGCGGGGTGACGCAGCTCAAGGAAGAACATTTATGATCATTACTTTATCATTTCCTTGAAGTAACAATCACCATATTAATCGTTTTGCTCATTGAATTTAAGGCCTTAGTTAGTGTTAAAGGGAGACGATAAGATCAATACATGAGAGACAGAAAGGGCAATAATCAAGTAAAAAACAATGTTCTTTTAAAATGACCTTCTGCATTCACTCTCTCTCAGTGCTGCAGTTTAACCTAATCACCAGCAGAGGACAGTGTAGGACAACGTTTATAAAACAAGCTTACAGGAGTCAAACCTTCCCCTCTTGGCCCTCTTTATTTAGTGAAGTAGGTTGTATAACGTTAACCTTTTTTGAAATACTTGTCCCAACACACCATTTATCCTGAAACCACCACACATGAATGCTGTCGTATGAAACATACAGCTTCACACAGCTCAAGAGGCCTCTATTCCAGCTTCTCTGCCCCCCTTCTATTTTTATGCAAATGTCCTCCTGTAGGACAGCGTATGGAAGCTCTTGTATATGGAAATGAGTGGCGGGCTGTAACAGACCCTGCAGATAGGAAACCATGTTAGATATGAGGCCTCTTAGCTAGGAGGAGGATGATACTCACATGCATGCAGAGCTGCACTGAGTCTCTTTCGCTGTCTCTCTCTCATGAATATTTCACTGTATCCATTCCCCTGTTGAGTTTTGCTCTTGCTGGCTGCTCTTATATTCGTCTCCTCTTTTCCTCTTTTATCCTGTTGAGCGTGAGGAGGTCAGTTTAGTATTGATCTATATGAGTCCCAAAGAGAGTAAAAAAATGGCTCTATTATCACAGTTTACACGTGGAGGAGACCTGATCCCTCCTATGATTTATGATATGAGTTCTGCAACAAGTAGGGATCTGATTTGGGAAAGAAGAAGACAGAAAGGAAGAGACACATGACAAAAAGATTGATTGAAGAAACAGCACGCTACAAGAGGGGGATGGACAGATACTCCTCTCCACTCAGGAGAGGAAACGGGAAACAGGAAAACAAGACAGGAAGGTCAGCAACTACATCATCCCTCCCCCACTATTACCCTCCCTCTCCTCCTCCTCACTACACGCTCACACAATCGCTGATGTTCTCATGTACTTTCCCCTCCCACCCAATCCTCTGCACATGTAAAAAAAAAAAAAAAAAGAAAAGAGGAGAAGAAGAAAAAGAAGAAGAAACGTTGGCGTGCCACTAGTAACCATGGAAATGGCAGCCTGCTCGAAATGTATTCAGGAGAATCACAGCATGGAGAAGAAAAAAAAAAGAAGAGGGGGGCTTTCCCTCCCACCACCAGAGGAGAAGAGGCTGCATTCATCACCATGACGAGGGCAGAGTGGGGCGCTAATCTGGCCAACCGAGCTGCGAACACGACAAGAGAGTTCAAGAATAACATCTAGTTGGTTTGACGGCAAAACATGGACGTGTTACAGACCAAGAGACAAGACACACAATAGCAAAAAGACATATCCAAGCACTGACTGTCACAGTTTGGGTTTAGACTGTCACCGTTACATACACTTTATAAACACTGAGTAACAATAAAAGACTCAATGTGAGAAGATCTACTCTTGTCTGTCATTCCCCAAATTCTCAGATGAATGATTTATTTCTATGGGTGTATAATCCTTATCTTGTTGTTATGGCAGCTAGGATCTCAATATTATTTAGAAAATGTCTTTATATCTTAAAGAGCATCTATTTGCCTTGAGACGTTTAGATGTTTTTCTGTTTCATACAGACAAACTACCTGATACATTTCATCAGAGGCAGATTCAGAGTTGCCAAGTAGGTTTGCAGGAATAGGGAGTTTCTCTTGGTGTTTTGGTGCAAAATGATGAAAACAGAGGCAGATTTGACGATAGGTGCCAGTAAACAGCAGTGTCCTGAGAGTGCTGCCAGGACTCTTTGATAAAAAAATAAATAAGACAGGCTACCAGGATGCCCTAATGGAATACTGTATGAACAATATGGTGATCACATGTTTGTCATTCATTAAATCCAACAGCAGTTTGGTAGGTGAAATAATAACTCTGTTAAATATAAGTGAATTTATTTCTTATTTAAATTACAGTTTTTTTTAACAGAAATCATCTCAATCTAAGTTACACTTCTGACAATTTTTCTGGAGTTTCTCTTCACATCGTCTCACGCTGAGGATGGAGTTTACGTGTTCACTTTGTTGATTCGCACAAATCGGACAACCTTCATGAAAAATGTAATATGACACACAAGATAAGGTTGAAGGTTCGGACAAATCTTAAAACATTTTTAGCCTGTCAGGCTTTGTATGATATACAATATTCATTTCCTACATAATCATAATGGACTTAGTTCATTTGAAACACAGCAGGACACCTCTGGGGTTTCCTCTATTTGATTATGTGTGAAACGTCTAAAATCATGGAGGTAAAATATTACATTTCCCTAATCCTATCCAAAAACAATGAAGGCCTGGGTTTCTGTTTGATTTGAACATTTCTCACATGACATTATTGCCCACATGTAGGCTTATAAGGACACGGTTGCCATGTAAACGCTATCAACCATTGACTCCAAGGAGACTGGTGTTGTTGTTTCATTAGCGGGGTAATAATCAGCTCTGCTTTGCATTTGGTTTTTGTCCTTAATTTTGCATAACAAGATGTTTATCTCACATTAACCCTAACCTGTTATCATTTCACCTGTTGTACCAACTGTCCAAACAGGATCCACCTGCCAAATCCAATAATAACTTTGTTTTTATTTCTGTGATATAAGCAATATACACTCCACAATACTCACCGTACTCAAACTATGAGTGCAAACTATATGTGTATCATAGCTTTAACGCCTTTTTCAAGATCTACTTCATGTTGAAGTTGGTTTTAAGTTGCCTATTCTTGTTTGTTTAAGTTTAGGGTTATGCAGAAATAACACACATCTTTTCCCATCTTAGTCCCTACTCCCCTGTTCTGTGTGGCTTCTCTTTTTTTTGTCCACCAGGCCGAGTTACCAACCCTGTTAACACCGTGGGACAGCTGTCATAGTGGAATGATAACAGCAATCACATCCAGACTCCTGATCCAGGAAACTAAATCTCTTCCTTTTACACCAGAAACCACAATGCAGACAAAGACTCGCCCTTTTTTTCTGTCATTCTTCCTCTTGGTGTTTGTGTGTAGTACCAGGTGTTGGCCAGATTACTGACCCGACTGTGGTGTGACACACTCCTCAGGCATCCCCCCGACACACCCACCCACCCAGCCACCCACACATTCACTCAATCCTGTCTGTCTATGTCTGTGTTTGCCTTCATCATGTCTGTCTGTTGTACTTAATACATGCCCTCTCTGTCCAGGGATCACAAAGGGATGACGGTGAGCATGCCAATTTGGTTTTATTCTGTCTTTTTTTTTCCACTGCCATGGTCTCCATGGCAACAGTCAGAGATAGGGCGTGGGAGAGAGAAAAAGAGACAGTGAGACAGGCAGGTTTGCAGCCAGGATGCAGAACATTTATGGCTCTGCTGAGTGTGACTGGATTTCATGCAGAAAAGCAAGCATTAACGTTAGGGCTTACTGTTCTAATGTGATGAAGTTCAAGACAATCCAGTGATATAGATGGTACTTTAACAAGAATGCATACAAAGCTGGACTGTGCTATGAGATCCCAAAAAGTCCTCTAGCAAAATTTAACCCCCCCACCTGCACCTACACCAACATAAACACAGACAAGACCTCTTTAATTTACCAAGACAGAAGCTCAAAGAGAATTTATAGCAAGTATTTGTTTGTACTTTTAACTACAGTTTTAGAGCGACAAAGAACAGCAGTGCATGGTTAGCTGAGGCTAGATTAGCCTGCTTGATTTAGACTTACCAAATGAGCTAGCCTCTGATGAATTTTACACCCAAAATCATATTAATTCTATTTTTTCTTTGTGCATAAAATAAGTTGTGGCTTTATCCACTTCAGGAAAGTGATGCTGCAAGGTAAAGCTATCATTAGCCTGCTACAATACCAACATGCAAATTTCAAAACCATATTTTTACTGTTAATTTAGCAAGTTAGCCTTCAATTATTCCCAATTTGAAGCATTTATTTTGAGTGTTTTCAGAGAAAAGATGAGGGAAATGTAAATATAAACCTGTTTCTGATATCTAAAGTTAACAATAGGAACCATATTACTTATTTCAGCATGTAAGACCCTACTGATAAAGCAGTAGTAAGGTGACTAACACTGCTCTGCCTCAACAGAAAAGAGAGGAAATTAGTGCGTGTTAGCCTTTTTATCAAGAGCCCTCTGCAGCAGCATCTCTGAGAAGGGTCACCTTGGGAGAGGAGAGGAGAGGAGAAGAGAGGAGAAGAGAGGAGAGGAGAGGAGAGGAGAGGAGAGGAGAGAAATAAGAGCACTGAGCTCGTCATCAGAGCAGAACGTGACCTGAGGCTTGGACACAGATTGAAATCTCTCTCTCTCTCTCTCTCTGTCTCTCTCTACACTGCTGTCTCTGCTTTTCTGCCTTTTAGCCAGATCACTTTAGTGAAACGAAGCCATTATGTTGACAGTTTTGCGCCTGTGGAAGAACAATCACTCATCAAAAGTGTTGAAAGTGGAGACCACGCAAATCTCCATCTGTGTGTTAGTCTTGCGTAATCAGCTCAATGCAGACGAGTGCTGGAGTAAAATAATAATAATCTGAAAATTCAGGCTGATGTAAAGATTGATGAAACACATATTAACAAGGCACGAACCGTCCTATCATATTTCCCACGTTTGGGTCATAAAATACTTCCCCTTGAAGCATTGTTTACAGGAGACAGTGTGGCAGGACTTCCTCCAGGGATATCCTCTGTATGTGTTTATAGCCACAGGATATTCGCTCCACTTCTGGTTCCATTTCTGTTCTAAACATAGCATTTAACATGATGAATTAATAAAAGCATCAAATGTTTAAACCTTTTCAGCATATTTACTACCAATGTATAGTCAAGGTTTCTGTAATAACGTAGAAAAGAAATGTCAACATGATTGTCATGTTTAAAAGTTGACCAATCTAGATACCCAAGATATGTTGTTTTTTTCAGTCTATGATAACTGAAATGCATGAGCAGGAAGATGATGTTGCTATGGTGACAAGACCACAGCAGGGGGTAAGAAAGTATAAACTTGTAACATGAGAGAAAACTGAGCAGGTAAGAGGATAGGGTGATGATAAACCCTATTAAAGTAAAAGTCTTTATGCAAAGATAGCCTCTCGGTAAAGTTAAACCTCGTATATTATCTCTAATGAGAGGGTAATGATGTTGAGGAAATGTCAGCAGCTCAATGGTATCTACAACAAACGTAACCTGAAGGGCTTGGTATGACGGTGGAGCTTTAACACAAACCCTTGTTCAAACACACACCTGGTGGGTCAGGTTCAGGAACAGTGTGGTATGTTGAGTCCTTTTTTTTCTGCAACAGAGTTGACTTTACTTTAAAGCTAGCCTGTTTTATCTGCTGTGTCTCCTATATCCTCCCAACACACACACACATATATATACTTCCCCTACCTCATTTTCTCTCTCTCTCTTAGTCTGACCCGGCTAGCTGTTGCTAAGTTTATCTCTGTGCCAATCTGTGCCCCAGAGGCATGCAGAGGCAACCCAGAAAAGACAGAGTGCACTGTCAGTTAGAAGAATCGGGGTCGGGAGGAGGGGATGAAAACTCATCATAGCGTGCTCTGTTTTAAATGAGCTACAGGCTGCCGAGTGAAGGACTGTGGGCGAGCATGAGCCTGTGCATTTGTAGGTGTGTGGTTTTGTGCACGTGTGGGTGTGTGTAGTGGTTAAGCATGAGAGACCATTTTCATCAGAAAACTGTATCATCAAAAGACTAGCTGCACATGCTAACAATGAAACATTAGAAATGAGTGCAGCATAACCCTGTTTCTGTGTTCTTTCTGCTGTTGTTCCTCTGCAGATTGA